TATGGAGTACGGGCAAAGCACTGGACTGGTTTATTCATATTCGACAGGAAGATTCTTCAGTACGGGTAAATGGCCACATTTCAACTGAATTAGAGCAACCTAGGCGTCCCAGCAAGGATCAGTATCTCGACCGATCTGGTTTCATATTTACTTCCAACATATTGGCGATAATTCTGACCAGATATGTTACTTTATGCAGATGATTTGAAAATATTTAGAAAAATTACTGGATTATGATGATATGCGCATTCTTCAGCAAGATATTGAGAACATGGCAGTGGTGTTTGAGGAATAGGCTAAAACTGAACGTTGATAAATGTGTGGTGATGTTTTTCTTCTCGCTCTCTCAACGACAAACCTGCAGCTTATTATCTAGTGGACACCAACTCGAGGAAGTCGAATCCGTTAAAAGGACTTGCGTCATTACGACAATAAATTGAAAGTTCTCGAATCATGTGGACAAGATGAAATCCAAAGCATACAAGATTTGCTGGGATTCTTATACCTCAGAATTCTGGAAGCGAATTTAACAATGTCTATACGTTAATATACCTATTCATTTACTTTGGTCCCGTCCAATAATGGAATATTGCTCAACAATATATCGATTAAGTTTATTACATAATATTTCGTATATATTCTAGGGGGAACATTTTCATTTATAATGTTTTATTTGTAAATTTTTCCAGGATATGCCACAGTTTTTCTTACCTAATGGGGATACTCTAAGTCCAGAAGAAAGTCGTTTTCTTCAAGACAACATTGTACCATGTGAAGAATTGGATGAATACAGGTGAAGTATTGTAAATTGAGAAGTTCTGTACAATAAATTCATGTAAATGTATAACTTCATTTTTAAATTTCTGTCTCTTAGTGAGGAAGGTACTGAGAATAGCCCAGTACCAAGTAATTATGAAGGTGAAGATACTGAGGATGAGGAATTTGATAAAGCATTTGAAGCTTTCCTTGCCTTCTCCCAACAATCCAAGAAGTCATCTTGAGAAACTGACTTATTCAAGTGAAGTACTGCTAAGATCTACTGGAAGACCCGTGTACTGTTCAGCAAGTTGGAGTGAAAGACTGCATAGCTGCCAACAAAATTTTAATTATTTTTTTTTTATAATATTATCAGAAAATAAATAAAACAAGGCTATAGCCATTTCGTATTTGCATTTATAATTATTGAATGTTGTATTTATGATTAAGGGTTGTGAAGCATGTAAATATTTTTGTTGGTGATGTATTTCTGTTTAAAAAAAACAAAAAAAACTTGCAGAATGCAAAATGATATTCACTGTTATTATTAGCTTTAGAACCAGGCACATCTTTACAAGTGATTATTTGAAAAGATTATGGTGCCAGGTAGAAGTATGTGGTGTTTAAACCAATTTACTGTAGTTTTATTAAGATGTCAGGATTATTAGAAGGTCAATTTTGGGGAAAAGAAAATATATTCAAAAGAAAATTGCTGTAGTCATGTGCCAAGAATATTTTTTATTCAGTATAATTTCATTCAGATTTTTTTTTAAATTGAAGTTTAGAATTTCACGTTCTTTTTTAAAATTTTAATTAAATTAAGGAAAATTCTTATTTGTTCTTACATTAATAGAATATTTTTGTTCTATGCAAGCTATGAACTAAGAAGTGATGTGCAAGTTTTTAGAAGTAAAATAATTTTCCAAACTTTTTTATGCTGATTTTTAAATTTCTAAGTTATTAGATTCTGTTATTAAGAAATATGTATGGAGTTATAAATAACATGATTGCAGTGCAAATATTTGTTTTGATTCATTTTTTAATATAAATTCCATGTTGTTCCATTCCATGTTGAATCCATCCACATTTTTGATAGGAAATTAACTGTAACTATAAATGATTTAACAAACAAATGGATGCTGTCCCATTAAGAAGAACCTCTGTAAGCTGAAGCTCATTACAACATTGCTCAATAGATTTTTGGGCTCTTATCTCAAGATTAGCTCATTTCTTAGGGCTGTCAAATTTAGCCTGCTTTCTTTTCTTTTTTAAGTAAGGAAGTCCTAAAAGGGTTTTGAGAACATACGTGTAGTTGTTCTTATTTGTTTTCTCAGCTTTACATTTCATTTCCGCAATTTAAGAAAAAAACAATATTTATTTAATTATTCATATCCACTTCATGAATTCTTTTTCGAGTTCCAAAGTATTCTGTGTTGCTCAGATAATTTGTATTGTACCATACCCGCAAGGAAAGTTGCATGAATGCACTTGATCATGCACCAAAATAAAGTATATTAGTGCCATCTTAAATACGTTTGAGTAAGTTTTGTAAGACTTTGAGAATCTGATTGTTAAATATCTTTGTCAGATAGATGTTTAGTTATGTGTAAAGAAATGGTTATTGTTGTGTTTAATGCATAGTTACTGAAACTTTGCTCATTATCAATTCCTAACAGGTTGTATTATAGAGCATTTTCAAATGTATTACATGCATGCTCATTGTTACCAATGATTTTTTGCAATATGACATTCACTGCTAACAGTCTGGGTCATATTTATCTGTTGTGATGTTCTCTGAGTGAGTAAAGGATGTGATAAGTATCTAACTGTGGGTTTAGGGGCTCACCATCTCAGTTAGGGTCTAGCCATCCGGCTAATCATTTTGGAGGTGGCCATTGTAACTTTTTGTTAAATAATAAACATTTGTTATTATATTGTATATTATTTTTGAAATGCATATATGATACTATACAATATTATTTTTTAAATAATTACATAATTAGAACAAATATTTAAAACAATTTTGCCAAATAAACAAAAAAGCCAAAAACTGGGGAGGGGAGGGCGTATGCCTGTCAGATATATCGTTTAATAACTCCTAAACTAAGCATTCTAGGGTCTTAAAAACTAAAATTTTGAGGTCGAAGGCCTCTAAGAAATGCTCTTCACACCCTAATCTACAGGATCACATATTCGTGGACTTTCTATAAAAAATTTTCTAGTTCTGCACTTATCAATACTACTAATGCCACCTAGATTCCAACCCTTGGTGATGGTGGCCATCTTTGTAACGTCACACTTAAAAGGGTTAGATTCCTGTATCTTACACTATTTGTGATTTCTGTGTACACCGTGGTTTGCACAGACATGAGGTTTATTTGAATAATTATTAACTCAAGATATGCTCTCACAGCAACAACTAGAAGCACTATTAATAGTTGCTTGATGCTGATGTAGATTGGTTCTTATGTGTGTAGTGAAAACATTCATTTAACGTTTATCCAAGAGCTACAAGTGCTGTGAACCTAATTGTGGAGGGATTTGGGAATGCAGCAAAGAGTGAAGACATGTCTTGTTAGGTTTGGTTTATGTTTTGTCTGTACCGGTACTTTCGTTATCAGCAGTGATTTGGTGACACTTTCAAGTCAGTGTGTTCAGTCATGTAGCTTTCTCAAGAGTAAAAATCTTTTTTATAATATTTCTGTTACTATTACAAAAAGCAAAAAGCTAACTGTCAAAGAATATTGAATAATTACTTCAAATATTTTTGAAGGAATGTTGTGAATTGTTCCAAGAAATCTCTCTATATTAATGAATAAATCTAGTGAAAATTTATTTTCCACATCAATTGCATTATTTTTTTTATTTGATATTGTGTAAGTACAATGGAAGTTACCTTTATACATTTTTAAACAAATAAATATGTTTTGTTTGCAACTTCCCTCTTAGAATGGAATTAGGAAGATAGTGAGTGTGGGGTTTAACATAAGAGAGTTCTCGCATAGGTACATGGAGGTAGTAGGAGAAAACTGGTGCTATGGCACAACACAAAGAACAAACATTTTAAATTAACTAAAGTAAAATATCTTGAAATAAATTAAGAATAAAAATCAATATGTGCTAGCCTAAATTACTATGTGAATTAATTTAAAAAAGCAACTACATTTAAAATTATAGAAAGAATAGCGAAAGTCATTTGAAAACTGCTAATGATCACAATCCAGACATTTGTTTGAAATCTCGGCAATATCTGGAAGTCTGTATATCAATGCCCAGCTGTAAACTCATATTGTAAATAATATACTATTTGATATTAAACTTATTGTGTTGGTCTGCTAAGATATTCAATACGTAGACATTGTTTGAGCAACATTCCCATGTACTGAAGTAAAGTCTAAGCCTACTGAATTTTCTCTAATGGTAACAAAGGGTGTTATTACTCAAAGGTGAAAATCTTAGTTTTATTACTTTTGAGCTCAGAATTGCTTTTCTTGAGGTATGTAAGAACGCAGAAAATAATCCAATCCTTTTTAGTACACAAATATTTTTTCAATTTTCACCCCTGTAAGCTGGTTCTCTGCCCCTCCAAAACTCCTGTTCTTCAAAACAGATCCAGGAAAGTTAAATAATATTGCAAAGAGTAGGTTTGTACTTGCCTGATCCTGTATTTTCGGATGGAAAACTTTATTTGGCTTTCTCAAGAGGAAAAATATTTTCTAATATTTTTGCGACTATCAAGGAAAGCCAAAAGCTAAATGGCAAGGAGGATAGAATAATGACTTTAAATGTTTTTAAGGAAGTGTGAATTGTTCAAAAAACATATCTATAATACTGAGTATATCTTAATTGAAAATATGTTTCCAACGTCAATTGCATTGTTTTTATTTTTGTTTGATATTCTGTAAGTATGAAGTTAAATTTATACATTTTTTAACAAATAAACACCTTTCATTAACAACTTTCCTTTTTAATGGAAAGGGTGAGGATTAACATTCGAGAGTTCTCACATAGGTACGTTAGTTTAGATATATTTTGAAAATTATGAGAACCAAACAAAAGCCCTTACTCACTGGAAATGGGTCAGAGTACCTGTTACAAATTCTTAAGTGAGAAGTATTTTTCAAGCATAGATTTTTAGATTCAAGATAGATTTCAGCTTCAAGCAATTAACTTAGTGGTGCTCAGGGAGGCACAGACTACTACTTGTACTAGTTAGTTTCATGTTCTCTTTAGTCTGGTGTGGCTTTATGGATTTGTCTCCATCCCAACCTCTTCCCGCTATCTATTGGTGCCTACCAGCACCATGTGCAGTACCACCAATCCTCTGGAGACAGAGAAGAGCATCTTTGCAAAAGCCTGTCTCAGACCATAGTATCACTTGACCCCATCTTGATGCTTCTATCATTGTTCTGGGTGTATTCCTCAAATTCTCCCACATATTGCACAGACAGTTATCTGTCAGGCCAAGAAATTATGGAAGAGTTAAGGTGAATGTTTTGTGCGGGTGGGTTTTTTTAATAGGTGTAATACATGAGGGATGCTGAATACAGCTTTTATCAAATAACAATTTACTTTCATGTAATATTTACATTCAGGAAGTAGTGTTTTATCAGAAACATAACTCTTTTTCTCTCTCTCATTTTATCAGTTCCGTAATAGTAAAATTGAAATATCACTTTAAGAATATTATGGAAGAATAATACCCGGGTTTATGTGCAGATTTTCATAGACAATTTTTGAGTTTTTGAGAGCATTGTCATTGGAATGTTTCTGAAAATACGCAACTTTTAGCTCATTTTCAGAGAAAAGTTTTTGAGTTTTTGAAAAACTTCATTGAAAATTATTTGAAACAGTTGTACTCACAAATGCAGTCACGTAAAAAAAACATCCTTATATCAAATATTAAGAACATGAGTTTTTTTAATGTGTAATTAGTGTAGTTTTAATGTGTAATATATATAAAAAAAAATACAGATGCATTTATTTCATATTATTCTGTGAATTAAGCAGTATCTACAAAGTCTCCCAATTTTTAGAAAATCTTGTTTTAAATATTTTTACTTTATCACTACCGCTTACGCAGTAGAGTTATGTAATGCTGCGTGAAGAAAGTGCGAATTTTCAACAGAAAAACTCTTATTACAAGTCCCTTGTAATGAAAATATGGATAAATGCAGATGCTAAATTTAGAAAAAAATCCTCTATCACATGGTCTAGTCAGAATGCATGTTTTGTGGTTCCTGGATTCCGAAAAATTGAATCGACAAAATGTATGTCCGACTGTGTGAACTGTGAACAATTCTAGTGACTAAACCATTCAGCTGATTTTCTCCAAAATTGATATTCCACAATCAATGTGGCTGATGTCACAGTCCCTTGAATTTGAAATTGATTTTTTAATTTTGGGGGGTACTTTACATGAAACCCCTAAGACATTTTCAAAATAAAAAAAAATTTAAAAAAGGGCTCCTCTATTCACAAGGGACCCTGCGCTTTGGTAAATTATGCGTAGTAACATAATTTGTAACAAAATGTATTAAATTAATACAATAAATGTAACATTGTATATAAAAATGGTTAGTTTTCATTTGTATTTGTACAGAAAGTACTTGTATTATGATAAGTTTGTTATTTAATAAAGATAAACTATTTTTACAAAGGGGGGGGGGTCCAAGACAATTGTATGCTTGGGGGTCCCGCAATACTTAAATCTAGCCCAGCTTGTTGCAACCTATTGTTGTAATGCCAGACTGGTAACAGATAAAGGTGATAATGATGGTTCCCTTGCATTCTGATTGATATAAACTAATAATTTTGTTAACATCTAAAATATACATCATGCATTGTTAGTACATTTATGAAGAATGTGAGTACACTGAATTCAATGATAAAAAACTGTTTTTGTTTAAGCATTTGAATTGAAAAAAAAATATGAATTTTTCATGCTTCATTTGTTTAAAAATGTTTCAAATGGTAGTTGAAGTGTAAAGACATAAATTGTCATATTATAATATTACATAGCCATTAACAATACTGTGAGAAAGTATGTGCTGTTTTAGCTCCACTAATAATTTAAGTATTATCAATATTTTATTAAAAATTGTGTGAAAAATACAAGTATTTTCAAAGCTGTACATTACAAGAATTAAAGAAATAATTGTGGAAACATTTTATTTGAAGAAAAAATTACCATCTTGAATAATGCAGTTGTGCAAGGGGCCAAAAAAATATCAAACCTAAAATGTGCATTTCCTTTAAAATCAACAGCATTCCACAGCATTACAAATATTTCCATGTTATTTTTAAAGTCAACATGTACACAAAGTATTTGCTGTCGTATGGAAAGAAATGCTGACGAAGTTAATTTATTGCTTGATCATTACATATATAAAAAATGTTTAAACAAGTATCTCGTACAAAGAGAGAATACAGAAACAATTCAAGAGGAATTAATAACCAGGACTACAATTTAAATGGAATAACCTGTGCCTAAATAGGTAGATACATATGGACTAATAATTGAAGAAAATATAAAAATACAGATACATGTGCTTTTACATTGTGTAAATAGAATGGCCAAAAAGTATTTATTTTTTAATATTAGCAATTTAATGAGATTTAATCATTTCTTGTACTAAAACAGACTAGACATTTATATTCTTGGAAGTAAGGCATTTTCTGGCACTTGAGAGAATTTACCAAGCAATAGGTCACAAACTAGTATTTGAATTCTGCGGTATTAATTGTTTTTGATTAGGTTCTTTTTATCACTGAAAGGTCCATATATTTTACGGCAATCACCTGCTCTTTTAGTTTCAATTTTTGAACTGACATTTCAAAACAAATTGAGTTTTTTTAAGATGTCAGTTTAAAAATTTAAACAATAAAACAACAGGTGATAGTAAAAAAAATATATGGACCTGTCAATGATAGGTTACAAAGCACTATTTTAAATTATCAAATAATATGAAATTGCACAAGTGTGCCGCGTTAACTTCGCGTATAACGCTGGAGAGAACAGCAAGCTCCCAAGTTCGAGAAATTTTTGATAAGGTTTCTTTTTTTATCATCATAGTGTCTCCGGGGTTGTATGTAGAATACATATTTCTGACTATGTGCTCCCCCATTTCATTTCCTTTCTAGCAAAACGCAGATTCTCACTCGCCGAGCATCGAACCGTTAGTTCTACTCAAATGCTGACGAAACAATGAGATGTAAAGGCAATAAATATCACGCGTGTCGAAAATACCTAATTATATTCGTGGACGTATTGTTTTCCACAGCAAATTTAGGCAGGAGACGGCAGGAGCCGTCAATAAGCGCGTTGTTTTACGAAATTTCGGCAACTTTTTTTCTTTTCTTTTCTTTCCATTCCTTTTCTTTCCACTTTGCGTTTCACTTACCGTAATGCCATTTGTCTGAGATTTTCTCTTTTTCCGACCCGTACAAAACTATTGGTGTGAATCGCCCGGTAAATTTGCTGTGGAAAACAATAATACGTCCACGAATATAATTAGGTATTTTCGACACGCGTGATATTTATTGCCTTTACAGCTCATTGTTTCGTCAGCATTTGAGTTTTTTCTTAGTATGGAATGCATTGAAAAAAATATTACATCTATCATACACTGCGAATATAAGACGACCCAGATTTTTGGAACGTGAAATGAATGGGAAAAGTCTTATTTACTTATGGATCATTCCACCCAAAATTGTACAGTATTGACAAATCACATTTTTTTCTGAAATATTATTTGCTTTGGACTATATTTGAAATTTTAAAAAAATCAACATATTTATGCAATGGTTTCTAAGATTATTCAACATGAGTATTGAATGCACAGAATAACAAAAGAAATACAATCAAATGTGGTTTAAAGAAATTCTGGAAAAAATTCTTGAGATGACTTAAACTAAATTTTCAAATACATGCTCATATCCCTGAAAATTATGAAGCAACTAAACTTTTAGTTTTAAAGTTAATATATTTGCTTGGTCCAAAATAAAAACTCCCCAAATTTTCAAAAATTTATGTTGCCTGTAAAATATCTCAAATTTTTTAATATTTGACCTAAATCATTCATGAGATCTGTTTTATTTGGTTAAAAAGCAATTTTTAAAATGAATATAAACTTTTTAAAAATCTTTTCTCAGTTACATTATTTTTGCAATATCTACTTTTACAGGTAATACTTATTTAACTATTCTGATGTATCTATAATTATAAATTAAAATTTTTATCCTTAAATGAATGCTTCTTTTTGATTTGCATATCGCCAATATGCCTTTGGTGCCAAAAAGGTGCATGCTAATAGAAGCTGTTAAAATATGTACACAAAATCTCATTTTAAAAAATTAGATTTTTTTGGGGTTGACTCTCTCTACATATTCATTGCATTTATATAATTCAAATATTTACTACCAATAAAATGTTTATTCTTTACAATAAGGAGCTGTTTTAGGCAAAGATAGAAAGGACCTTTTTTTTAATTTTTTAAATTTATTTTACTTCTTGACGAATCACGTGAAAATCACATTTGTTACTTTAATGAAGCATCTGGAATTGGAGTAAATACCCGTTTGTATGTTTTTTGTCATTCTCGATCGATAGAAAAATCTCTTATTTTTGCGCAATGCTTATTGCATTTGCCATTTCCTATTCAAAGTTCGCGGGACAAAATTCTCGTTGCTGATTTGTTTCTGCCTCTGCGAGTGGCTGAAGAGTAGTGGTAACGGGGGGGTCGGACGGAGTACTGCCGCGAAGTCATCCCGAATCTGGAGCGGAAATGCACAACCTGTGACACTTCCTACGATTGCTACGTTTTGCTAGGTCAATGGAATTAAGCGTGCTTGCTGTGCAAATGGGACGCATTTTCTCCGCAAATAAATGAATGAGGTGTGCAAGTTGCGCGGGAATGTAAGTTGAATTGGCAATGTATCCGAGATATTTGGGAATTATGATTTGTTTCACTGGTTTCATTGATAGTTGGTGAATTCGGTGCTTTTGGCATTAGAATTTGATCCAGAATCCAGGTTGACCCTATTTTAATATTTCGAGGAATTTGCTACTACTAAATTTTGTGAGTAAAACATTTGTCTTCAGAATGTGTTGACAAGTAATTAAAAAAATATTTTAATTAATTTCGAAATCAAAATAAGTAAATTTTCCTTTTTATGTAGAAATGAACTCTTGACATAATAAATTAGGTAAAACCTAAAAGTGTACACTGAATTTAACCAGTATGTTATGAAAATTATGAATAATTAGAAGTTTTTATGATTCTCTTTTGTATATTTATTCAACAAATGTCAGCCTGTATCATTTTGGTAAATTATCTTGATTGTGAATTAGAAAAAAGTAATGAATTATATATGTTTTAGGTACTAGTGATGGTGATGCTGTAGAGAATGGCAGAGCCTGATCGCAGCTCAAATGATGGTACACAAGAAAATGAGAATGAAGCTGACTCAGGAACTCATCATGATGGCGGCAATGATCACAGTAATGAAGAAGGTGGAGAACAAGACAATGAAGCAGATCAGTCGGGAAGTCAAAGTAGCCCTGTAGGTGTTCCAGATGGTGTTCTTAATACAAACTATGATTCAAGTGATGGTGCAATTCCAGTGCATCGTTGTGATCGTTGTGAGAATTATGAGGCATTGACTCATGTAGCTCTCTTGTCACATCTTGCTCAGTGTCCTGGTAATGAAGTTGAATCTCCTACACCTGGTGAAGTACATAGAGGTCATGATCGCAAGATATTTGAATGTGATGTGTGCAACATGAAATTTTCCAACGGTGCAAATATGCGACGTCATAAAATGAGACACACTGGTGTAAAACCATATGAATGCAGAATCTGCCAGAAACGATTCTTCCGAAAAGACCATCTTGCTGAACATTTCACAACCCACACAAAAACTTTGCCATATCATTGCCCGATTTGTAATAGAGGCTTCCAACGTCAAATTGCAATGAGAGCACATTTTCAAAATGAGCATGTTGGTCAACATGATATGATTAAATCTTGTCCTCTGTGCAGTTACCGAGCTGGATCAATGAAAAGCTTACGGGTACATTTCTTTAACAGGTATGTATGTTTCACATAACTATCTTAAAAGTTCATGGACACTTGATCTTTTAAGGTAAAGTGAGTTGTTTGAAAACATTAACCTAGGAAATAAGCTAAGAAATGACTATTTATAACATTAAGCTAGGAAATAATTATTTGTGATTCTTCAGAATGTTGTGTGAAGGTCTACCATTTCATGTTTATTTTTATACACACATTATTTTTCTGGTTATCATATTTACTTTATAGTTTTAAAATTTAATTACATATCCCCTTGAAAACACCAATGTTAGCCTCGTAGAACTGTAAGCTATTTTGTCATTAGGATACTTGCTGAACACGTGTTTCTAGTTTTATTTTATTTCCCTTAATATTTATAAGAATAAATAATCACATTTTATGCATTCAGGAATTAATCATAATCTGGTACGAATAGAGACTAAGGAAAATTATGAACCATGAATTTGATGACATACCTAAGTTTTAAAACAAGTAACTGAAATTATTATGTTAAAAGTTTTAACTATAAAATTTATCACTCCTTTATCTCATTCCATTGCTTTCGAAACAGTTGTCAAATGAGATATTGGCATCATCAAAACGTTTACTGTGTTTTATACTTTTTTTAATAATAATAATTAATAATAATAATAATAATAATAATAATAATAATAATAATAATAATAATAATAATAATATTATTATTATTCTCTTTTTTCAGCAATAATAAAAAATTAGTATTTTTTCTTGGGTTAATTATGTTTTCTTTTTTGTAAATGTAATACCCATTTAAGGCAGACTTTTTACTTCTGTCAGAAATTTCCACATTTATTGAATGAAATGTACATTAAAGTAATTATCATAACTGCACATTAAATTTAATGTACACATGTATATTAGGATGCAAGAGTCAAAGGTTAATGGTCATATCTGGAAGGAAGGAAATGAATGAATGAATGATCTTAATGGATGGGTGATTGTGAATACATGATATGAATGATGAGATGCAGGGGAAACAGGAGAACCTTTACATTAAATCTACACCGATTTTAACTTGTGCATTAAATTTATGTACAAATGTATGAAGCTCTTTTTAATGTACAAGGTTACATTAAGTTTCATGTACAATACATTCATCTACATTAAATTTAATGGCATCTCTAACAGTGTATAACTAATAATCAAACTTCAAAATTTGCTTCAAACATGTTCTGTCAAATTGTTTAACATTCAGAATAAAGGGTAAAAATTAATGAAGTATACACCAATCAGTTTTACGTATTTTACTTATTTTCTGTTTAGTGTCTTTTGTAGCAGTAGACAGTTAATGATTTTTCTAATTATTCTTCAGTTAAATTCATTCATCTGAAATGAAATTGTTTTGACTGTCAAAAATAACCATAAGATATGAAAGGATCATTTTTAAATGTCAAATTTTTGCCATTCCACCAGTTCACAATTAGAAAGCTAGAACAATATTAACTTTTGTGCTAGGAATGTCTTCTCAACAAATGGCCATCATGGGAATTTTCATTCCTTGTTTCTGTTATCCAGAGACATATCATACTTTGCAGTCACCCTCATGTCAGAATGCAATCAGATTACCCACATACCTTTTTGCAATAGTCTGACTGGCAGATGTCCACAATGCAGTGTCTTCCTGTTGTAATGTGGTTCTTGTTGTTCAGTTTGAGACCCGAAGGAAATATTTTGAAATGAGACTGTTCATATTTGTCTTTCTTTCGAACATCGAAGAATTTTAAAAGGGACATTTTAACCATAAAAGGAGAATCAAGGACATGTATCCTTTGTCAAACTCTAAGAATATGCTGTTTTCATTTAATATAATTTATTTTTATTGTAAACTGTAAATACATAAGAAAAGTGACGTACAGGATAGAAGAATAATCTGTCCACATTTTCGTGAATTCCTGAAACCTTCCCCATCCTTTTACTATACTTGGTTAAATAATGAATGAAAAAACCTACAAAGTGAGGTTAGCCACATTTGAAAACCTTTTCGCATCTGGGTTATAGAAGACTTATTTGCATTGGAAACCAAATTTTATTGTATAATTTGATTTTATAGTGTTGCTAACAAAATAAAACCCACACTCCTGGCTGTACTCTTTTCACAACCAGCTATAGGAGAGCTTAACAAAAGGTGCAACTCAGCAAAACATGTCCTCAACAAAACATGCTAGATTTAAGGAACGAGACGAGAGGTTATCTTAATATTTGCTCAATGTATCTGGGAAACGACAAAAACCTGATTAAGATGGGAGTTGTTGACTCACAAGCTGAAGTATGTTACATGGTACTGGCCAATTTAGTGTTTTAATATTATGTACTTCAAATGTTAACTAATTAATTAAATATTGTTTTTATATTTCTCTTTTTGATGGTTCGTGTAGCCTCTAAATATGTTGAAGCAGTCATGCAGCTGAAAAGATTTTTTTATTTGACACTAAAACTAATTGTCTAATGTCATTTGGCTATGTGTTATAAAGTAACATAAATGCATTATTTGTGGATTTCTTGCAGTGGGTTGTTGATATTAACATTAATGAAAATGACTCCTACAACTTGTATTGTAATTCTAAATATCTGTATTGCATGAAAATATGTTCTCACACTGAAGACAGTTTTGACAAAAACTACAGATATGTAAATAAATAGGCAATGTAATGGTAGGATTCCAAGCCCAATGAAGATAGGTTTGCAGGAATCACACAGATGGCTTTTGCTTATTTTTCATACTAGTTTTTCCCCCAATCTAAAAGTCTGGGTATTATAGGATGCGCGTCCCCAGAATTTTTTGCCATAATCAGTCAGGAATATACATTGGCAAAATATATGCCACTAGCTGCCTGAAGGTTGACTGAATTCTGAATGCGTAACATAATGGACTTGGTTTATTTTTCAAATCATGTATATGGATATTTCATTTAGGATTTGATTGAACTTACAGATAATAAGAATTAAATTTAATGTCAGCATAACATGTGCAAACTTCTTAATCTAAATTACTTGCTAGCTAAATGCTAGGTATAAACATGCGAAAAATATGCAAAGAGAATTATATAAACCTGCATAATGCATGAATTTCTCAAAAAATCAGTGAAGCATGCAAATATGCACAGAAAACTTTTTTATTCCAATGAGCAATGAGCAAACAATACATTTACAAAGTTTGAGAGCTGTAGTATGCCTACATAAAATCATGCATGTACATGGAAATCAGGTCTGTTGATGATTTTTTAATCAATCAGATAAATACTGTTTTCTTAAAAAAACTTTTAAAACATCTGGGAATCACAAATAATAACTTTATATATTTTATTTGGTTGTTTTATTACATTCAATGCTTTTTCTCAGGCATGGAATTGATTTGGACAACCCAGGTCCGAGTCAACCAAGCGCATCATCTGCAATTCCAGCCAGTGGACAGTGTTCACCTTTGGAACCAAGTTGTAATATTAATGTGGGGGCCTCTTACAGTGATAGTGGTGACTCAGTGGGTGCAAGATCTGTTGATAATGCCACCCCTCCTATGCATTTCTTGACTCCTCATGTTGAAATTTCCATGGCTGATGCTCCAGCTACTGGATTTTCTCCTGCTCAGGTAATCATTAAAACGCAAAAGATTATTATTTATCTTGTTTATTTCTAGCATAAGTATAACATGCTAAATAATTTTTAAATATTTAATTCTGAACATTAGAGCGAACAACCTCTTGCATCAGCCTCTCAGTCCGGCAGTGAATTATCCTCTCAACATCTGAATGGAGAATGCCCAGGATCCCCACATTCTGCTGATTCAAATTCTAATGCTCCTTCGAGCAGTCTTAACAATTCCCTGAAAAGGCCTGAACCAGAAGGCACATCAATCACTCCGTCCATATCTCTGATCCCAATCAAACAAGAACCTAGCTCAGAGGACCCTGTTCGTGCAAACGGACCTGTCAATTTGACCACTAGTAGGTCTGGAGCTGAACTTGCCTCTGGAGCCACGAATGTCCAGTTTCCAACTGCCTCATCGAGTAGTCTTACATCGTTAATCAAAGTGAGTATAAATCCTTTTGGTCTAACTGTGAATTAATAAAATGTAATTTTTGTCAAGACTTGTTGAGTGATTTGGTTTGTTTCTTTGGATTGTCACACTAACACAGATCAAAATATTTAAGTTAGCAATATCATATTAGTTTGGTAAACATGATTAAATGGTGCAGTGTTATATCTAAAATACAAATGGTTTTGGTGTTCTTTATTGCTGTGAAACAAGTGAATACTTTCACAAATTAATATGAATAAGTGCGATTTTCATTTTGTTGTAGTTAAGAATGTTAAAACAATATTTTGTCTACTACATTACTTATTTAAATATTATTCAAAATTTAATAAAATTTGAACATCATATCATCACATAGACACTTGTTATAATTTTGTTATAATGAACACGTATTAAAATGTTCAACTTTAGCACAAGTTCGTTAATATAAATAAATCCGCAAATTGTTTTTAAGTTGCCTAATGTCATGATATTGAGGGTAAGTGCAATGTGAAGAGAGCTCAGCATGGATCCCAAAGAAAAATGTTAATCCTTTCTTCACCCATAAAAATTGTGCCTAAGTAATAAGAAAAGGAAGAATTAATGTTTTGTCCTAAACATAGCTTTCAGCTTCTGAACTATTTTTTATTGAAATTCTTGGAAATTAATGATGCATACAATCACATGCACACATCCTACCATCACATGAAATTCATTTTATTTGCAAGTGCATTCAACAAATGTTTGTATCATGTCAAACTAGAATGTCAGAGTCAATCTAAATAATAGAGGACAACAATAGAAGCAAAACTAATTTGTGAAAAGTGCTGAAACATCAATGCAGTGTGAATTTGAACATATTTCTTGAAAGTCAACTCTGATAGACGCTTCTCTGTACGCCAAGAGGGGGGTCTGAGCGAACTCCAATAAACAATTTAATATTTCATGTTGAAACATGTTGTGTAATTTAATAAAAACTGTTTCTTAATCTGCAAATTATGGATGTTTTTGACACACCAAAAATAAAATTATTTCTATATCATAATACCGACACTTGAATATAATGCTTTCTCATTCTATTTGTTAAAAAAAGGAAAATGGGGTCCAGCTAGACCCCTCTTAGCATTAGAGATGTGAAAATTAATTATCTGCAATAATTTCCAAGTACACTGTGAAAAATATTGAAGCAAAGGATAGTTGCAGCGTTCATCATGAGATTTTCTCTTGTAACTTAGAATCTTCTTTGAAAATGTTTGTGCATGAAACAGATTCTGTCCCTTGAGCTCTAATGTTTCCTTCTGACTTATTACAAATCATGCAGTGTTTTGTGCATTCAGGCGAAGGTTCTTCTTCATCTTCTTATAAAGTCTTACTCTTTCCCTCGGTCTTTCATCTCTAGCCATCCTCACGATTCTTTTCTCCTCCATTCTCTCAATATGACAAAGGTTCTGTCTTTGAGAAATGTTGATGATAAATTCAATCTGGGGACCATATTGAAAACTTCAGTCTGTATGTCAGTCTGATGTTGTCTGCCATGTCTGTTGGAAAATAGAAATTCCAAATTTCATAATTTTACAGTTTTAGAGGGAGAATAGCATCTGAGATGAAAACTTTTTGTTTTTCTTTGAAGAATATTTCGAATTTGTGTTTTTCTTTGAAGAATATTTCGAATTCCTGGGTTAACTTTTTTTTTTTTTTTCCTAACTCCATATGGCACTGACAAGTACCATGATAGATCTCTGAACTTAGGCAAGGGAGCAGTCTTAAGTCTGTACACCCTCCCATTTCCTGTGCAGGAGATAGTGGTGGTTTGACATTTGATGGATGATGTTAGGGATGATCGTGAAGAGTGAATGATTAGAGAAGGAATGGTGTGATTCATGGTGGTACTGCCAATCTTCCCACAATTATAGTGTGAAAACATCCATGCTTTTTATGGGACTTGTAACACAGAGCCATCAACCCAACATTCTTGGATGATGCTCCAAGTTGGCTCCAGATGGCACAAAGAAGCATAACTCTGAAGTGAACTTCTCATAAAGTCGAGTTCAACTCATAGCATTCTGTCTCTTAAAAGCTTTGTTAAAGGCTACATTTCCACATACAATATTTCCTACCATACTGTGAAATATATTTTTCTTTTGTCTTGCCTTAATGTATTATTTCATATAAGGCCATAGAACAGTGCTTTGTTTGCATTTATGCTACTGCAAAGTTATGGAGAGATTTTTTCACCCACTTTCCCTTCCTCAGTGATAGTAGTTCCCAGGTATTTTAAGTTTTGAACAGTTTGTAACTCATAAATGACTTGGATATTAGACATTTCTCCTGTAATGCGTAGATATTCCAGTTGTTTTAATCCAATTCAATCAGTTCCAATCAGTTTGAGAAGGAAATATCATCTAGTAACACTTATGATCAATCAAAAGATATATAAAACAAGCTCAATTGTTTTAAAGAAAAGTACTGTTAACTAAAAATTTCTGAATGGACAGAATGAAAACAATCTCTGCGTAGTCAAGGAACACACAACACAATATCAACAAGTAACTGATGAGTTTGTGGAAACAAAGGTTTTTACAATAGAAAGGTAGGATAGTGTTGCAGGGGTACAAATGCTATTTTTTTGTTGAATAGTTAAGGCACGAACTGGGGATCAATTTAAGATTCTAGGAAGGGAGGGAAGAAGGTCACAAGGAAAGGAGTAAGCTCAATGAAAGTTGATGAAAAATATACCAAAAGTAAAGATCTTCAACTTGAAAAAAGTAAATTAATAACCAAGTACCTTGTTTTAGATTTGGTGGATCAAGGACTCAAAAGCAACACAAAAATTGAGAATCGACCATTTATCTCCTTCAATTAATTTAAGTTAATTTCTGCAGATGTTTGTACATTTCTGTTCTATGAATCTTGTTTTCATTCCATTTGTGATATACTAAATGTTAAACAAGTTTGCCTTCCAAATAAAAATGTATTAATGCTCCTTACTTTACAGGTATCACCATTAAAATCTCTTCTTCGAGATGATTTAAAGCGAAAAATTGGGAATCGCATGGCCCCACAAATTGCACATGGGCATCCCTCAGCAGGTTCAGGGCATCCTGAAAGCTCATTTCCCATTCAACCTATTGCAGCAACTACTACAAATGGTGCAATTACTTCAACGGGTCCAGAACAACCTTCAGATTCCACGGAATGGCGTTCACTCCACAAAAGAATCCCATCTCTTCAGTGTATTTTCTGTGGTATTGCCTTTCCTGATCAGACATTATACTTCTTGCATAAAGGTTGTCATTCGGACAGCAATCCCTGGAAATGTAATATATGTGGTGAACAGTGCTCAAATGTGTATGAATTTAATTCACATTTGCTCAGTAAAACTCATCAGTAAAATGAAAATTTTACTTGATCTTCCAAGGTAGCATTACATATGCACACAAACTTCACAGCATTAAGCTTTTTCCTTCAAAGATTTTGTAGTTACAGTGAAACCCTAGTTTAGTGGAACTCAGTTTCAAGGTAAACCAGTATTTGAGGTAAAATATATATGGTCCTGAGAAACACCTCAAGAACAATGCATTTCCATCCCCAATTTAGTGGTATTTACGTTTGTATAAAACCAAGATCCCAAACATATTTAAGATAAGTCATACTTAACAGAAGTTCAACAATAGGACACTTTTTTGATCAATTTGTTCACTTCCGAAAGTATGATACAAAAGTCTCTCATAGCTGAGAAAGTCAAAAGCACAACATTTAGCAGATGGTTACCAGGAGCATTGCAAACAGTTTTGTTATTTATGTTTCTTTGATTTTTTCTTTCAGTCTTCATTCTTTCCAAGTGTATTACTTGCCCTGACTCCTGGAAACACACTGTTTGCCTTCCGCCTTTGATGCTTTGCTAATAGGTAATATTGTCTTTGTCTTTGGACATAAAAAATAAAGGTAGATCTTATATTTTAAATTTGCACTTTCTGCTATTGAAATTATCTTAACCCCTTTTAGTGTAAACCCTTATTTAAGGGTTAAAAAAATGGTTGGCTCTCAGTATTACACTAAATAGGGGTTTCACTGTGTTACAGTCCATCCAGATTCTGAATGTGTGGTTTACATTTCCAAGAAATGGGCCTTAAAAGTCTTCAGTTTTAGTCATCAGTCACATACATTTTGTAGATGGTACAAACTAATTTTATCATCTACGTTTATATTCTTACATACTGTTATTATTATCATCTTTAGTTCTTTTATATTTACAAACATTCCTTTATTGGTGCTTTCATTGTATCAGATTTTACTTTAAATATTCTGATAATATTTTTAAATATTGTCTCTTGTGATACTTTAAAAGTTTCGTAGAACAAAACAAACGAGTTTTATACCCCCATACAAAGACAAGTAGACATAACGTTTTGTTGTTTTTTTTTAGGGTGAAAAACTTAAATTCAAATTAATAATTGATATCTCTGATTTTTTTATCTTAATTTATGTTCTTGCCTCAAATTTGATGTAGATTATAGAGTATATATTAAACATAATATCTTTTTTTAAATTTCTTTGTTAATATTTCAGTCTTACCAAATGTAAGAAGCTTAATTTTGAAAATGAATTTTCAAAGATTTTATTTCAAAATAAATTTTATTTCATGGCAAGTTCAGTACATGATTTATTTATTATGTATCTGAAGAAATTTTATGAATTCCTTTACTAACATTCATTGGGTAAAGCGTATTTGAAAACCAAACAAACGTATGTCATGAAAGTATTACTCACTATTATCTCATAGCAGCATTAATACCTGTAAAACCCTACATATTGAAATGTTTTAAAAACTTATAAAATGTAATTTCTTTCAAATTTAATGCTTCCTATTCTTGAGGCAAAAAACATTTTTGTATACAAGTATTTGGTGAACTACTTTTTGTTGATATAAAAAAATGATTATTAATATTGTGTGCGAAATGACTGCCTTGGACAGTACCGTAGTCAGAATTTTGTTTCAAGCAGAGCTTGTCAAGCAAACATGAAGTAATAATCAAGTTTTAATTAACCTTTCCTGAAACCCTGTTAAGAAATTTTTGACATCTTTGAACTTGACACAATATGAAAAATACGTAATTTATTATGTTATTTTTTGGAAAACAGGTAAAATTACTTCACTTAAGATTTACTTGCAAAAATATTAAATGACAAACTGCGCAGTATTGAGAGAGAGATTTCTTTTTTGTGAGGGGATGTATTACCCTAGCCGCCCCTCTAGCTGCGTGAATGGTCTCAGAAATAGGGATGTGTGTTTAAAGTAATGATGTGTAAATCCACCCAAATGTTTATCTCCTCATTTATTATTGACTGATACAATGAATTCTTTTTCTATAAATTTATTGCAAATTTCCATAAAGGGGTACTTGATATTTATTAATTTATTGGATCTCTATCTGGTTGATTTGTAATTATTATTTGTTGACATATAATTTGAGAAAAATATTTTATATTTATAATGATTTTTATTTATATATTTTTTGTTGCACTTTCGTTGTAATGATTTTGTTGATTTGGTTTTACTCTATATATAGTCATCCAATATGGTTGTGATGTATGAATTCATGCAGTGTTTTCATTACAGATGTAGTGCATTAATCAAAGAACAGCACAGTGTGTTTTTATCATTTATATATTTATTTATGCTGTGTGTCTTATGATCGGTTTTTATATCATATTTATTTGTACAGTATTTATTTTTATATTATTTATCATCAAATTCTGCTGTATGTTCTTTGGAATACTGAGCAGTATCAAGATTTTGATAGTTTATAAATGTATTTTCAGTTTTCTCTCTTAAGGAAAGACTAAATTATTAATGTGCCTTTCAATACAAGTATTCTGACTTCAATTTAAAAAAAATTAAATTGTATATTTTTAAACATTGAGAAAATGCTTTATTGAAGTGTAATTTTTTTATGACCTTGTGAATTAATATTAATATAACCAAATTATGTTCAGCAGTATCTGTTAAAAGTTTGAAAAAATACATTTGGGGGATACTTAATTAAATTTCAGAGGAATCAGTGTTTTTAAATTGGCACATCATATCAATTTGCTAAGTAATATTTTGTAACTTGAAATGATCTTTTCACACAGATAAAAATCAATAAAATATGATTATTTATGTAGTAATTTAATTTGTTTGTGTTTTGTGCCTCTTTGAAAACATAGATTACAGTTATTATAAAAGGGAGAATTGAATGGTACATATTTATATTTAGAATAGTTGGTACCTATGTCAAAATTATTATTTCTCTAGCTCCATACTGTTTTGCTCAATGGTGTCCTTCTTGTGACTGTTATATAGGATATTCACTTTCAAATTATTAAAATTGGTAAACATTCCATAGATTTAATTACTAATCTAATTGTAGAATAATCAACATGAGTTGAATTATTCAGATCTATTGATAGTAGGCTCTAGAATATCATACCGAAGAAGTGGTGATTTGCCTTGAAATTATCACTTAAAGAAGCAGAATTTATGAACTTCACTTATAAAAACATTTCACAAAAATGTTTTGTTTCTACTGGAAACAGTATACCAAGTATAAATCATGTGATCTATTAAGTTTGAGAATTTGAATCTTTTAAAAATTGAAAAGAGCAACTTTATTGTTAAAGTGGAGAGAAATTTTCATGTATTTGTTGCAACAAAATGAAAGCAAAAAATTAGTATTAGGAGATGGATATTTACCAGTTTTCAGGTATGTTGACTTGTGCATTATGTTGATGTTCTTATAGAAGCACAAGAATTTTCTTTATTTTTTCTGTTCAATCCATTTCAATAAGTAAATCAATGTTTTCCTTCCTTTACATTACCTTATTTGAACAAAGGTTCCAAAAATTGGGAATTAACATTGAATTTGGAAAGTGAATGTTTGATACGATTAAGCAATTTTTCTATCATTTTGAAATTTTTAGCTATGATAATAAATGTTCGTGAATAGTAGTTTGAAACTGAAGTAATTGTGAGCATTGCACATACTGCACTAAGTTAGTCATAAGAAATTATTTGAAACATGTTTGTAAATAATGGAATGATAAATTTTTGGTATGACTGATTTGTTCTCATGATAGTAAAATTATTTTTATAACTTTGTGAGGATAAAATTGTGTTCTAATGAAATATTTCAGTACTTACAAATTTCAAGCTTATGAAGCATTTCTCTCTCCTTTTACAGAATGAACTAGGATGATGTGATCCTACTTGCTATAAATTGTCTATGAATGATGTCTAGAAATTCTTGGTAAATTGTTGGTAACGATAAATATTCACTGGCATCACTTGGTTGAAGTTTCCTAATTTTGCAAAGAATATGCTTCAAAGTATGTAAGGCGTCTTTTATTAGGTCTTTTCTTTACTTGTCATTGATGAAGAAAATTAAATTATATTTTGTAAGTATAAATACAGCAAATGTTTGTGAAAGAAAAAGTGCCTTTTGTCATTCCCATTTAAAAGATGTTCTGGTTGTTGTTTTTTTTTTTTTGTTTGTTTCTCTGAAACTAGTCATGTTTTTGTGAAGAAATACTCCCCTATTTACCTATTATTGAATTTTTTATAAAAGTCAAAAACTTTCTTTCTCTCTGATTAAGTGAACCTGCCTTTCTCGTGACCTGTCTGGCGGTGGTTCAGAACTTAGAAATTTAATTTTTAGTTTGTAAAATGCTTGCATGCATTCCATGCATGCAAGAATGGAAACGACCATGAGTTTCTTGAAAAAAATTATTTAGGGAATAACTCTCCATGATTACTGCTTGTTTTATGCTGTCCAGTTTCTTTCTTAAATGTCTTTCTTTCCACCTTTATTTAATTGTGTGTGCCTTAGAGAAGGGATGTGCTGAAGGTGTAATTGTCTTTAAATTGATCCAGTGCTTTTATCACAAACCTGTGCTGTGGTGCTTGGAATCATTCCAAGATTTATGTACAGTTTCAATTTTCTCAAAAGTAGCTGGAATATTTATGCTTCCTTTCAATTGCAGTGTTTTCTCATGGTATAAAATTGTGAACATTTGAAACTCAGGTGAATATTCATTAACTTTTTAATGCACTTCACATGTGCAGTACTGTAATAAATTTAACATCAGCTCAGTTGAGCAGATTAGGTAAACGAAAACAAAAAGTGTATGGCTTCTGAATGGTGCTTCCAGCCAAACTGATGTCACCAGAATTCAGTGTAATTAAAAAACAATATTGAAATGTTTCCATACTCATTACCAATGTAAGTTATAATCAGTATTTTAAGACCCTTGTAGTTCATACATTTTGTCAACCTTGCCAGAATTACAAGGAAAAAAGGCCTTACTAGAATCATGTGTATGTGCACTTACAGTGAGAGAAAAAGAGTACAAATGAAGCCTATTTAATCTATTGTCAGAACAAAATTTAATGTTGCTGATAAATGTACTTACTAAAAGATGATACAATGTGATAAGACGATTATACATCTTTATGTACGATGCTTTGAAGAGCATTTTGTTTATGATCCACGCTATTTGTTTTTTATCTCTTTTGTCAGTTCTTGTTCCATCTTTATTAAAATATGACATTGTATCATTTTTTGTTTATTTATATATGGGTGTCTGAGTATGTTATGAGAAATAGAAACCAAAGCAAAAGCTGAAATCTAGTGTCCTGTTTCATATAGGCATCTAAATGAAATGAATGTTGACATTTGACCGTTATGAAGTATGTATAGTGCTCTGCCTAGCACACATTCCCATGAGTGGAATCTTCAATAAATTTTAAGTCTTGTGTCATTTGCGAATATATTGCGAAGAGAGATGTATTTATTATTACATGGTATGAACTATAAATGTGGTGGTGATGGTTTATATTTAATAAAATGGAATTTCAGTAATGAGTGGAAAAATAATTTTATTGCAGTGATTCCTTTATATTATTTCGTGAAGAACATGCAATGTTCAATCAACTAGTTATTCTGCTTCCTTTAAATGGACTTCAGTGTATATATTGTTCATTTACTTGTGAAAACTATAGGAACTATGGAATTTTTCATCCTCTTAGTCTTTCAACACGTAACATGAATTGATTTTCTGATATTGGATGCAATTTAATAGCAGAAACTAGTGGTTCTACAACAGCACATACTTTCTCACATTATTACAATGTTATCGTTATGTATAATGGGACACCCATATGTGTTTCATTAATTTCAAACAGAAACTACTAACCTACAAAAAAATGTTCATGACTTTTCATAGAGTTAATTTTGTACAACAGACTTTGTCTAAAGCAAATCTCTCTATCTTAATTTTTTTGAAAGTTGGTTATTTTTAATTTTCGAAAATTTAGGGTATTCAACGAAAATGAGGCCTGCACCACTCTTAAACGTCCTTCACACCAGTCAACAACAAAATTTAATAAAAAAATTCGGAGCCATTTTTTTTTAAATGTCTGGGGGTCTTTGTATAAAGTACACTCCAAAATTAAATTATAGAGGCCGCAACATCAGCTAAAAAAAATTGTGGAATGTCAATTTTCGAGAAAATCGGCTGAACGGTTTAGAGCTAGTTGTGCACAGACCGAAGGACAGACAGACAGACCTACACACACGTTTTCCCGTCAATCGATTTTTGGGTATGAAGGACGCACAAAACCTGGATTCTGGCTACACCACGCGTTAGAGGTTTTTTTCTATATTTAGAAACGGAATTTATCCACTTTTTCGTTACCGGGGCCCGGTGATAAGAGTTTTTATGTCGAAAATTGTCTGTTTCCCCGCGCTCGATTACAATACTTTCTTTTACGTTAGTAATTGCGAGAAAGTAAAAAGTGCTCTTCCTTGTTTAGGATGATAACTTAAGAGAACTTCTTACAATGATAACTGCCAGAATGGTTTCTCTTGCAAAGTGTTTATGGCATATCTTTTCCATGTCTTCCTTCTCTAACCATATTGTAGATAGACTTTTTTCTGAAAGAAAGCTGATCTTCAAAATTAAATTTGTAAATAAGATTCTTCCCAATTTTTTTCAACAGGAGTGAATTTCATTATTTGATGCTGTTTTTCATAAAAAAGACAATTATAAAAAGTAAATTTTGGGCTCCATTTTTTTATTTAAATGTTTGCTCAAATAAGGTAAAGTTTACTTAATAATATGGCATAGGTCCTATTTAATTAAGAGTTTGCATATTTTGAAAATTGCAACAAAAAATTTCAGTGTCTTTCTACTATTACAGTATTGAATTTATGTGGTGTGTTTCTTCTTTTTTATGGAATTTTTTCTTCTAAATTACGTATTTAAATAATACTATATATTATTTTTCGAAAATAGACAATTTCAAGTGATTTTGAGTAAAGTAATGACAACTTTTAAAAATTACCTACACAAGATATTCTCATCTGCGACCGTCTAGGAAACCTGAATCTAATAGCGCCGAGCCCCTGGTCGAGGTGATAAAGGCACTTACTGCGTCGAGACAAAAATGATAATGGAGGACCATACCAGCGCTCAACGCCCATTAAGGGCTCAGAGATATTATCCACGCACGTTTTCTTGAACCCTCATTTTGCTAGATGTGAGGGGTTTGATTTTTTTTATTGACAGAACTATTATTTTAAATCATTAGCTCGTTTTTCAATGCAAACTATTTTCTATTGGGCAGGAGCAAACACTTTTGGTTAAAGAGCTATTTTTATAACAATGGGACGTTTTGACAGTTAGTGCTGGCGCAACAACTGAAGGTTCTGCGGTCGTTTTGTCCTTGAGCCTATTAGACTCTCCTTCCTCCATTCGTTCGTTTGCAGTTGGCTAACTTGTAAAAGGCTTCGACGCTTCCTTTTGTGATGTCCTCGTCCAACGAGGAATGTAGTCCGCCAAGAGAAATAGTTGAAATTAGAAAATGCAGTGGTGTGTGCTCTTCTGTACATTTTTTTTACAAACATTACATTGACTTAAGTTTTTGTGTGATAAGTATTATGTTTATTTTTAACCCGAGTCTTGAATGTGAGATGCGTACGGGGGGTCGGTGCATGTTTCCGGCTCTTGTGTTGGAAGGTGGAGAGCTGTGTTCGAGCGTTTCGAGGTTCCGCGCTTTGCTTTTTATATAATTGTGATACGGTTGTGCCATAGTGGGCGCAAAAGGCATCTTCCTTGTTCACAATTAAGGAATGCATTAAGATGCAGAACATCAGTGACATATAAAACAATTATTAAGTCACATTTGAGTTATTAGATCATAGTAATAAATATTGATACTCGAGTTGTTATAATTATAAATAAACTATCCTCCAATACAAAAACGCATGAGCCATTCGCTGTGAAACGACCAGAAAAGGTATATCCTAAAAAAATCATTTTTCTTTTTATTTACATCCATGGCAGTTTTCTTTTACTGAATACGAAAGCATGTTCGAGTTTTCCACATACGTAATTACATTTCAATATTCCCCGGACTCGCGTCCGTGCATCAGTGAAACTCTTAGATTTCTGTATAGTGATGTCTTCACGAGAGTCGTATACACTACGAAGGGGCGTGTCTGAACAGCTGCCGCGGCGGAGGGATACCTTTCTGCATTACACGTGATATTCACTTGTTTAGCGAACTGTCACTTTGGCTCATTCCTATAAAAATCGCTCTATATCGGAGTTTGTCAACAAAACTTGTTGCTATCATTTATTCTGAATTCAACTAATATTAATAAAGGAGTGGGGGTAGGGATGTCGGCTCAAGAAAACGTGCGCGTAAAATACATTGCGTTAACGACGACACTTTTTATCGCCGCCTGAGGCTATCTCGGCCGGTGTCACAGGTCATGCCAGTGTCTGTGTCTCAAGCGCGCGGTCGACCGTGGAAAGGAATAGAATTCAATTGTTGCCTTATTTTACGTGGCGAGAAAAGGATTTATTTAGTTGTGCACTTGGCGTAAATGATTTACGTCAGGGGCGCCGTTAAATAAATCCGAGGGTAATATGTGTTATTTGTTTACAACAAATTGAGTAAAATTACAAACAGTGATGACTTTGGGGCGAAACAGAGTTGCCCCTGATCAAAGATAATGCCTCCGTGTTACAGTACGTTCTTGACATATGCACTACCTTTGTAATGACTTTTTACGTTCGGTCTACATTTTTGCCTTGTCCTTACCGGCTTGGGTGGCTCAAAGCACCAATTGTGCAAATATGCAGTGCCTCTGACCGGGTCATAGGGTTTGAGTCTTCCAGGTTCGGGAACTTACAGTTGGACAGGTACTGGGGCGGTGTCCCGCTGGTGGGAGATACCTGGCAGGAAAACTCCGCTAGTCGGTGTGTAGGTCAGCGCCGGACCTCGTCATTGAGCTGGACAAGATCGCCGCCACTTCCCGTGCAAAAATAAGCACTACACTTACGAGACTAATGACCTTAGGAGATGAAGCGCTAGGAATCACTTATGAATGAATCAATGTAGTATACTTAGTTTTTTTTTGTTCTTGGCGCGTGAGGCCTTCTTCCCGATGGAATATCTCACGGTATTTCGCGTCTTTCTCGGTAGTGCCGCTAGATGTCGCATGGTCGCCAGCACCGCGCGATACAGTCGCGATCATGCGACATCAGCGGCACGACTTACAAAGACGCGAAATACCGTGAGATACAAAATTGTAAAGATAGGCCCTACGCGGGAACAAATAAAAACCCAAGTATAATTCGGCGATTTCGCTAATGCCGCTCAATCAAGATCCGATATTGCGCCAGATTAGCGAGAGGCTGCTGTATTGGTTTCAAATGCTTTGATTGAGGGGCATCCAAAAAGTAAGTTTCCCCGGTCCGTCGACAAAAGTAAAAACAATGTCACTGAAAAGCTCTATTGTTGCAGATAAAGCAAATAATACCCTAATTCCTACAAATCACCACCAGAATTAAGACTTGTCATATCGTGAGATCAACATTTGTATCTCTGTCATAAAAGTCTGCCATCTAGGATAGGTACCAGTGTTGACTGCCTCCTGCAACTCTGCATCACTGAAATTCGCGTAATGTTGACCGGACGAGAATTAAGAACATTTCCAGAAAGGTTCTAACTATTAGGGGAAAGGTAATTAGGGAGTGGGCAATTAGCATTGGTTAGTAGTATGAGCGGAGTGTAGACGAGATGAAATAAATAAGTTAATAAATAAGCAATGATTAAGTTAATCAGTAATTAAATTTGTAAATTGATAAGTAAATAAGTAAACCATTAAATAGTTAAAAGATCATTAAGTTAATTAACATGAAGTTTAAGTCTCAAGTAAAATTTTTTCTGCTGCACAACTGTTTCTATACAATTAGATACTATACCGATCACCCAAAAGGAAAGTAATATTTATTTTAAAAACGACATTTTATGTATAATTTACCATTTGGATTGCATAATTGTAAAGATATCTATAACAAGTATTGTACTTCAGCTTCTGGGTCAATGAGCCCCAACTAGATCAGGTTTTCGTCCTGTTTCCCTGATCCTCGAGCAAATGCTGAGATGGACCCTTGTTTTGCTTCTGGACATAAATGTAACTTCAAATTAACTTCTCCCCATAGCACGTCACACAGTTTTTAACTGTTTTTGACGTGAATAAATAAACTGCAAGTTTCAAAGTAATAGTAAAAAGGATATCATTTATATTCATTTTTTAATTTACCTATTTTTTTCACTTAATTTAAGACTAAACATCTTTTAAGAGTGAGCATGTTATGGTAGATGATCAATATTTTTTATGGGACCTCATCGAATCAATCGAAAATCAAATGTTATTTCTACTGTCAACATTGTCTTAAAGAATACGCAATCTATAGCGATGGAAATGGATGGAAATGCTTTTTGCCCACTTTGATAGCACTGAAAACTTTACGCAAAAACATTTTCTAATAAATAAATAAACAAACATATTATGGGGCAAATGGGAGTGTGTGTCTGAGAAATGAGCACAGAGGCGATGGTGGTTGGGGTGTACGAAAAGATGGACATCGCTGGGGGCAGGATCCGGGCTTTCTGTCGGCCGTGTATGCTCATCTCGCATCAGATTTGCAGTAGTTTCGCTAGGAGGTGGTTGACCATGAAATTGTTTCGATTTTGTTAACGACCTAGGGAAACGTACTTTCTGGAAACGCCTTCTTTCATCAGTGCGACATTTTAAAATTTTACCAATTGTAAATATGCGTTTTCTTATGATTTACTTAAAGTGTTATGCAATTAACTTATCAATTAATTGACAGGTTTAATAATAAAGTATGTAAATAAAAGGAAGAAAATGTTTATTTCGCTTTGGTACCACATTTGCATACAAAAGGAGTGTGCATTTTACAAGTTCCTAATCTTCTTCATCGGGAGATTTAAATCTAGGATCGTCGATTTTCTCGGACTTCACGGGTCCAAGATTGCCACGATTATCTTTAATGACAGTGACCGCCTCCGAAGTAGCTTCATCCTGAGAAGAGTTACGTTTACTTCCTGAAGTTTTTTTCTCGCCTGAGCCACCTTTTCGCCGCCTAGAAAAGTGGTATCCATTTAGACAACTAACATAACAGTTAAAACCATGCGAACATCCAACGAAAAGTATATAAAAGGGGGCTTCTAAACCAAATTTTTTGGACCCATAATTTTTTGTTATTAAAATATTTCCGTTTTTCATTACAATGCTTATGTTTATTATAATTTAAAAAAAATTCATCCTTTTATCTCAAAATATTTTTTTACAATTTTGAATGTTTTGAGGCGTGTGTTGAGACGTCTAGACAACATATTTCAAAATAGGTAACGTTTCAACAATTCAAACATCATTTTTAACATTTCAACCAACATTTTATACTCAATAAAATTTAAATTCATTGATGTAAGAAGCTTAATTCAGTAATATCCTCTGCCATAAATCCTTTATACACTAATCTCAAATTCTTAGTTTTTAAAAGATATTTTCTTTTCTTTTCTTTTAAACTATTAGCATATCGATTAGGTAAAATTACACTAATCATTTGACCTTGTTTATCAGTTTTTAGATCCAGTGCCACTTTATTATTTCCATATTTTGCTTTTACGTTTCTTATATCAGCAATAGGATATTCACGATCTTCCATTTAGTCCGATACTTTTTTTAATGAATTTGGAGGATGCAGTCGATCATTTTGTGACGGGGGCGGAATCATAGATTTTTGTTAAATAATAAACATATTTGTTATTACATTGTACATTATTTATGTACTGTATATATGGTAATACACAATAGTATTGATAAATAATTACTTAATTCAAACAAAAATTTATATTTAAATCTATTTTGCCAAATAAAACAAGGTAACATACGAAAACTCTAGTCCTTTTTGGATGGGGTATAGCCCCCCTCTCCCACGTTGAATCCGCCACTAGTGATTCCAGTCAATAAATCCTCCTCTGCTAAATGAGATTTACACGCAAAATCAGAAACATTTCCCTTCACAGGTGAATAAATGATCCATTCTCTTTTTACGATTTCTTTGTTTAGCAATTGTTGCGAGAACAGTGCGTATGTAAGTCATATTTATTTCATGTTATCCCCTGTTTCATGCTCAAGGGATGACCTATCAAAAGTATTTTATTTACTTTGACAAAAGAAAGGCCTCTTTGCTTCCCAATACTCCCGTATGATGTCATTAGTATGAGACCAAAGACCAGGGTCTGTCGTTTCCGGAAATAATGGTACATAGATAATGACTGAAATAATACTTTCACATTTTCCCGAAACACTGTCTGTCACCTGATCTTGAATACGAATTACCTATCTTCATTACACGCCATAAAATATGTACGTTCTAGCACACGGATTGCAGCTTCCGCTTGTTTTTGTTATTAGTTCTTCTCTGAACTCGAAGTTGAGGGACCAGAAAGAGAAAGTTAATAATCATGAACAGTATTATCCTTTTTGTTGGCAGTGTAATTGAAATAATTAGTTTCGGAATTCACTTAGTATTTTCTTCTCGATCTTTGACTCTTATTTCTTCCTATTGGAGATAGTAGTAAAGGAAAGTAATAGAGAACCCGGAAATAATGACAAACAATAATGATTCTATTATTTTTATATGTGCAATGCACACTACGCTGATGATACTACAATTATTATGGGGAAAAGATTTGTTAAAAGGCTTGAGGAGCGGCAGCGTAAACGTGATCGTGTAAAAGGAAGTTTGTTGTCTTCCAGATGTTTATCCAAATCTATCTAATGACGTAAAATTAAAACTCACGATTTCTCGTCTGCTGCCGCTTTAACGGCAGCTTGTTCAGCAGCTGTTAGAGCGAGTAATCTTGGATCCATTGCCACCCATTCAGAGTTCAAAACTTGATCCATTCTCCAACGTTTTGTTACATCAGGTTCCAATAAATTAGTTACCAGCTTTTTTACCTAAGTGGGCAGTGAAATAATTGTAACTGACTTCTAATTTATTTATTGCAAAGGTGAATGTATTCGTTTTAACTATTACTGACGTTAATAAAATATTAGAAGAACAAAACTTAACACAATGCTGTCAGAAGTATTGGTTTGACTGCATGACATATGAGTTACCTGGTCACTCAGACTGTCAACAACTTTGGAACGAAACCTCCATCGCCTGTTTATTTGTTATTCATGCAGGCGCTAAATATTTGTGTCATCGAAAGGCATAGCTTTATTCAACATTATGGATAGTACTATGCCGAGAAACCAAATATCGTAAATTTTTGGATTATGAGGGATTCCCTTTAAGAGAAATAAAAAACAATTACTTTTTGCAAAGTGTATTGGTTTATGTGTTAAGTTTTGTGCTATTTTTAAAGTAGTTTTGTTACCAGTTTCTTTTACGTAAGTGGGCCGTGAAATAATTGTAAAATACTTCGAATTTATTTGTTGCAAAAGTGAATGTATTCGTTTTAACTATTACTGATATTAACAAATGTAAGAACAAAACTTAACACAACGCTCTGTCAGAAGTATTGGTTTGATTGTAAGACAAATGAGTTACCTGTTCACTCAGAGTGTCAATGACTTTGGAACGAAACTTCCATCGCCTGTTCATTTGTTGTTCATGCAGGCGCTTAATATTTGTGTCATCGAATGGCATAGCTTTGTTCAACATGATGTATAGTACTATGCCAAGGGACCAGATATCGGAAATTTTTGGATTGTATGGACTTCCTCTAAAAGAAATAAAAAACAATTACTTTTTTTTCTTAATACATTAGTTTATGTGTTAAGTTCTGTGCTAGTTTTAAAGTATTCGCATATCAACTAACCTAAGTATTTCAGGTGCAGCATAAGAAAGTGAACCACAATAGGTTTCACTAAGTACGCGTTTTCCTTTTGAATCGATCACATAACGCGCAAATCCAAAATCGGCTAATTTTACATTAAAATTGGAAGATATGAGAACGTTTTCACATTTAAGATCTCTGTGGGCTATTTCTAATTCATGAAGGTACTGCACACCTAAAGCCAGTTGTCTTAGCCACACTCGAGCTTGGCATTCTGCTATGGCGCCGTTCGCTAAAATAAATTCCAGCAAATCACCATTTTCAGCAAATCTCATGAAAACATAATACTTAGAACGCCTCTGAAAAATGCTATGTATATGAACTATGTGGGGGTGATTGAGTTTCACCAAAATATCCAGTTCTCGGGGTAAAAACTTGCGCACAAAATCCTTCGGAGCATGAGATGTATCTATTATTTTGCATGCTAACTCTTGTTTCGGTCCTTTGTCATCTTCGGCGAAGTAAATTGTCTTGTACACTTTAGCATAGGAACCTTCACCCAACTTTTTAACAATTTTGTAGCCCCTGCTGCTCAAAGTGGCTTCTTCAGATAGTGTTTGCTCCAAATTTGAAGATGACATTTCAGAAGATATAAAAGTTTTGCCATCTGCGTATAAACCCTAAGTTCTTGCATTATGCGTAAGAATACACTCTTGTTATTTACATTCTAAGATAAATGTGTTGTCCGTGAAAAATGCATTGTTGTAAAAACTGACCTTCCTGTCTTTGGAGAAAGACTACTGTAGAATATTCATTTATGTCCTGTTTGTTTATTTACGTTGTTCATCACGAAGTTGTTCATTCATTTGTTTCTTGTGAGAAACTGATACACACAATGGTGTATATCCTCCCCGCTAGATGGCTGACTTCGCTTTCTCTCAACGAGATAGAAAATTGTATTTCATTGCGCTGTCCTATAAGGACGGAGCTGAGGCCGAATACAGCGCCACTTTGCAGGCCAAAAGCTTCGAATGTCAAATACAGCCCACAGGCACTGCAGTTACTTATTACACGTTTAATACGTATAGATTGAATTTATTAATATGGTACTCTTTCTTCACACGAAAGTGAAGTTGTAGAAGTCAATAAGTATTTAAAATATAAATATATGTATATGTAATGAAATGTAACAGCATTGATGTAATATTTATTATACAGGTATTCAATTTAACTTGGCAACTTGAACTAACTCAAAAAATACGCAATGTACAAACAATTGAGCCAAGACCAAATCTTTTAAGAGGGAATCATTCTATGCTAAAATCAGCACCCCCCTGCCCCCAGCGGGTGGGCAACATTGAAATCTTAAATAGGAACCCTATCTTAAATAGGAAATACATAAGTTTTGTCTGAAACTTTTTTTCTGATTTGTGATAGGTGGAGCTGTAATCGCAAAAAATTAATTTCTACACTAAATGATGGCCCTTAACCTCAATGCATTTATTGATTCGTCCTACAAAAGAACGAACACATCGCATAAGCATATCTGGTGTAATCGCGGCTCAAAAGTCCCTGGTGGGTCCGCGGTGCGAAATGATTAAAGAAATGGTCTGATATCCGTAGTTCCACTGGCGCCAGGTCCGGGCGGTTACGCCCTCCCATGGCTTGGTCTCCCAAGGAGTCCCGTCTATCCATTTGCGCCAGGTCAGGACGGTTCCGCCCTCCGATGGCTTGGGCTCCCAAGGAGTACAGTCCATCACTGGCACCAGGTCAGGACGGTTCAGCCCTCCGATGGCGTGGGCTCCCAAGGAGTACAGTCCATCACTGGCGCCAGGTCAGGACGGTTCCGCCCTCCGATGGTTTGGACTCCCAAGTAGTACAGTCCATCACTGGCGCCTGCATCTTGTTAAACGTGTTCCAGGTTTCTATTGTGGTACAGCCCGGGGTGTGGGTGTGGCACACGCTTCGAGATGGCATTGGCGATCGCGTCAGGAACATGCGGTGAGCATGTGAGGGAACATGCAGGAATATATCGGGGAGCATGCACTGAAACGTGTGGTCGTTCGATGAATCGAAGAATTGAGTGATGCAGGGTCGGATTTAAGGGTGAGCAAAGAAGTGGGCGGCGTCCCAGGGGACCCCACCAAATACAAAACATTAGACGGAAATCGTGGGTTTCAACAGAAGTTTTACGATGTAAATCAAATTCATATATTTTTGTCATGTAATTCTGCACTTGTATTGATGCATTTTCATTATATTTGTTACGTTACAAAATTGTGATCTATTTTACACTTTTATTTTGTTTTAATTTTAAATCCATATTATTTCATTTTATCTTCAATAGTCAATTTCTTTATACGACCCATACTCACAATGCAATAATCCAAAAGCAAGTCCAGGATTCATTACGTCATGTAAAAGTAATTTTCAGAATTTATCTTTTTTTCATGTTAAATTGTGGTGCTGAAAGATCGTTCTCAAAATTAAAAATAGTTAAAAATAGATTGCGAATGACATTGACTTGACAACATTTCAACGATCTCGCTATTTTATGAACAAATAACGAGATTCTGAGAGAAATACGTTTTAATCATGTGATTGGCCAAGAAAGTGAGGAAAATGCTCTTGTAATACATTATATTTAAATGCATGTAGTTTCTGGTCACAAAAATTATTAATTACAAAATTAACTATTACAGTGAAGTTAATTGCGTTATGTAATATGATTAAGGAAAATTAATAAATACAAATAGTTTTAAAACGTTTTTGAACTTTTTCTGAAATTTACCCGCCCAAGGGTCCTCTCACAGTAAATCCGGCACTGAAGTGAAGATTTAGTTTTTCTGCTGATCCCTTCTCCCTAGCAGTGTGGTGAATAACAAGCAGAAACTAAAAATCTAAGTAAATTTTAATTGACACGTCAATAGGCCCGATATGAAAGCCTATAATGCTTCAATTTACTTCAGGTTTTTATCTGTACTTGGAATACAGAATGAAGCTATTTTCACTTTTCATTTACTAAGTGCGAATTTTGCGCGGGTCCTAACAGTTTTTATTGCTGCACGGATGTTTGTTGCCTTCGTACAACCAAAGTATGGAAATTATTTTTCGAATTTATTCTTTACTACTTACTAGAAAACACTCTCTGCCTCATTTCAGATGATTTTTGTTTATAAATATTAACTTTCGTTTGCTAATCGACTGCTTCACTAATTTTTCTGTCAGTTCACATTGCCAAAAATAATATGTTCCACTATTTCCGATTACTTTTAAGCGTTAAGAGTTATATGCAACATAAGGAGCACTTTCTGATACGTTTTAGAAAACATCAAAATATTTCAAACACCATGCAGTTAAGAAGCTTAAGATCATCTGATTTTCACATGCCGCAGAGAAAGACTTTTTACGATTAAAATGTTCCTGCCTAATGAGAACATCAGAAACGTGAAGAGTTTTTACACTTTTTATTGTGTTCAGTATTTGTGTCGATGTAACTGTTTGGATAAAACATTCTCAAAGATTGAATATTGAACCTTACATATGAATAAATATTGTACCTTAAAAGGAACAATACATATAAGTGTAATTATTTACTTCATCTAAAACATTTTCTCAATTTTTTTTCCACGAATAGAACGAGAAATACGTGCAGGACTCATTTTCGTTGAACTCTCTGAATTTTTGAAAATTGCGAGACGCAGAAATAATACTAAAAAGTATGTGCAGTAGCACTAGTTTTTCGAAGCGACCGTCCGTCTGTCGTGTATGAACACTAACGCCTAAAGTATTCGTTGGAATTGAAAATAAAATTCCTTGATCTTTTGGAAACGACTCTACGCTCTGCAAATTTGTAACTAGTTCTTTCAATTTTTGAGGTACTTTGCAAAAATGTACCTGGGAAATTTTCAACTTTTTCACAATACTTTTTTTTTTAAATTGTTAGAGTAAAGGGAAATACATGGACCGACTAACATGGCTCAGAGCCTCAACTGGTGTTTCTGCTGTGCCTCTGTCAGGAAGGTCCTAGATTTCGAGTTTCGACGGTGGCAGAATTTTCGAATTTGGCTACATAGGTAGTAGGTCCGTCTGAAGGAGAATTCCAGCGGCCGGCTGCTCTGATGGAAAGGTTTCCGCTGTTTCTCCACCAATACTTTGCGAATGCTAGAGCAGTTCCCTAACAAATGGGCCGCGGACCGCGCGCGGTCTGCCCTTCCTGCAGGGGAAACCCCGTAAGCTGACAAGAAGATCTCGCCAACCTGCGGGGGACGAACACCGTCACATTCCGTGTTGAAACACACACTACACTTACGGGAATAATCGCTTCTGTTGACACGATGGAAACACGATTTAATCAATCGATCAAACAATACAATTAGGTGGCCCAAGAGGACACCAGTGCGAATAAATCGCACGGGGAGTTTAGATCCAAATTCAGGTTTACATGCCTATGTATTTATCTATCTTATTCATCTACGCAGACAGGAAAAGGAATGAATTGCGCCTTTGGTGTATTCCCGCCCTAACTTGCCCTGCCTTACGCCGAACTGTCCAATTCCACCGTGCTCCCTTCCACACTTCTCGCCTGACTCTGATACTACCCGCCTAACTGACAGGTTGTGCGTGATGACGACATTAAAACATTTTTTTTCCTTCATATTATTAAGGTGTATATATCTTACATAAAAAAATGTAAACTACACGTTCAGCCATCGGGTAATTTCAGAATTACAATTGTAATTTGTCACCTCACTTCGTAAGAAGAGAAAGTATTGTAAACGTGAAAATCGATAGAACAGCTCTTATTGCCGGGCCCTGGAAACCAAAAAGGGGATGTCTTGTTCCTATTTATAGTAAATGTCTTCTTCGGAGCACGTCGAGAAGTCAAAGTCCGTGTTTGTGGGTCCTTAATAATAAAAATCAATTGACGTCAAAACGCAATTCTGTCTGAGAGCGCAGGTTTCCGCGGCCGGAGTGGCTGGGTTGGCTGTTCAGGAGTTCTTCTGGAGTCAGGCTGTTCTTGGCGGCCGGGTTGGCTGTTCAGGACACGTGGGTCCTGAGCATAAACTCCTAGTAACAACGTTGGCATCTGTATCTAAGTGCCCGGCGTCTCCCGGACAGCCAAGTTGCTAAAACGTCTAACTGTATGTGGTCAACGCTAGCTCTAAAAGCATTTAGACGATTTTCTTGAAAATTGATATTCTGCGACCAATTTAAAGGAACTCAAGTTCATTTGAGTTTGGAACGGATATTTTTATTTTTAAGTTTACTTTACATGAAGCCTCAATACTATCAAAATTTTCTCAAAACAGTCTTAAAATCTGTTAATTAAACATTGTCTTCAGATAACGTAAAAGAATAATGCTAGTCAAATTTTTGTGGAAATCCCTGAATTTTTGAAACTTGCGAAAGTTTAAAATATTATTCGGTGTATTTCTACAACTACGCTATTCAAGCTACGCTATATTTTTTCTCTAATGAAATCTGTTCTGAAAAGCCTGATCTTGAAATAAGGTCATGTACGACTTTTCGAAACTATGAGTAGTTTTCACGAAATTTTCCGTGAAATAGGGGCAATTTTTCAATTATTTTTTTCTCAAAAACGACTCAAAATTTTTTTCTTTAAAATTTCTCTTCATTTGTATCACATGATATAAAAAGTTATTCTACTCTCATTTCTGATGAACTCTGAATTTTCCAAAATTGCAAAAAGGTTAACGTGTCAAAATTACTAAAGAAGATAGAGATAATTCTCTTAAATGAAATCTGTACTAAAAAACAGTTATTTAAAAAATAATGTCCCGTTTTTGGAAACAAAGAGTGTTTTCGCATAATTTCTGCTCAAAGTAAATGCAATTTATAAAAAAAAATTTAAAAAAACTATTCACAATAATCAGTCCAATGTTTTCTTCAAATTTTGTGTACGGACTTTTGTGGGGTGTAGCTCTCATTTTCGTTGAACCACAGTTGGAAGTAATGCGAGAAAGTATGTGAACTTGAGCTCCACTAGTGGTTAGTTGTCGGCAAGATGAGGCTGGAGTACTTTCATCATTCGAATTTTCGCGCTGATTTGTGCTTCAAAATATATCCAACAGGTAGCACTGCAGTTCCATAGTTTTTAATATTGTTTGATGTATTTTAGGCCATACATTCCTAATTTTAAAAGTATTTTAACCTGAGGGATCAATTTTAGGACCTGTGGTAGCGGGTCTGTGAAATGTAATTACTTGGTTCTTCCTCTCCTGATTTTGGATTGCTCACGTCAATGAATAATTTGCTTTTTGTAATTTCTTTCCCATATTCATTTAATTGTCGCTTGTCATCAGCTTGTGAAGTGTCAAATTCATCACATGATCTGCGAAAGTGATTCTGTCTTATTTTCCAATCACGCCTCATACTTAAATTACCTGTTAATTACCGTTTCAATTCTGGTGTAGAGAATTGTGTATTCTACTTCAAAATTTCAAAGAATACGTAGATATGGCCGATTATTTTGAAGAAATGGGATGGCAACCTTTGGGACCTGGAGAAACTCCTAACCATCTCTTGCATTTAGTGAGATTGTTGCGTGATTTTGGTATGTGGGAAGAGCTTGGACAGGATCAGAGGCTTCCTCCGCCTGCATCTAAAGAAGTTGTTCGGAATTTGGAGGAAAAGGAAATTTCGGTCACTGGTAGATATATTTTTTGTGGCGCAGATGTTTTTTGTTGTTTTTTTTGTGCTTTTATGTACAGGTAATAACTTCTTCTGTCAAATATAGGATCCCAGTGTCCAGTATGTTTAAAAGAACATGAAATAGGAGAAACTGTTAAAGTTTTGCCTTGTAAACATTCTTTTCATGGGACCTGTATATTACCATGGCTAGACAAAGTAAGGAATAATTTGATGCTTAATGGAAATGTGTCCAATAAGTGTGTTATGCTTATAAATGGTGTTTTCATTCCAGACCAGCACATGTCCACTGTGTCGTAATGAGTTGCCAACAGATGATGAGGAATATGAGAATTATAAGAAAGAAAAACTCAGAGCAAAGGCTAGACAAGATGACTTGGATACTTTGCACAATTCTATGTTTTCGTGAAATTTAAATTTGGCAGATTTGGGTTCTGTTAAGATGGTATATTTTGTTTGGAAAGGAAGGTGACAATTTTGTAAATACATTTTTCAGTGTTATTGTTTACTCATAATGGCGACATTAAAATATATTAAGTTCTACCTTCTGTTTGTTGTTTTGCCATGAATTAATATACATTTATTCCATGTGTTAGAAGTTATATTCATATATCAATATTGTATCAATTGTTGTTTTTCAAGAAGTATATTTATACTGTATTTTATAATGTTCTGTGAGAAAATAAGTTTTCTTAAATATAAAATAATTTTAATTACCTTTTTATATAGAAATAATACGTATTCTATTACTCCCATTTGTTCTTTAAAATATTGTAGATCCTTTCCCAGAGTCATTGTGTGTTATTACAATAAGTATTTAAGGTTCATCCAATGGACATTAGTATGTATATGTATATCTACACTTCTGTCTTCATACTATTAGTTTTGTTCCTGGTAATGTTTGTTCAGTTTTATTCACATATCAATGATCTGTATTTTCTTCCAATCACAAGTGCATTCTGTTGGCATTCTTATGCTCACACAGGGGCAATTTCAATGCCAGTGTGTACGCCAGCAGTGGGTATCTGTTACTCCCTTGTGCAAAATTCTTTAAGCAACACGTTTCGGTTTTCACATATCATCCCATGATAAAGGTTGCAGCAGTTGTTGCACGTTTTGCACTTACTCTGAAAATCTGGCTTGTGATATGTTCTGTTACTGCAGGAACTGTGATGATGTCATTGTGGGTTATAGTGGGCACATTTTTTCCCCCCCAGCTGATATCGTTTTGCATCCTTAATACCTTCATCAAGCAGTTGCATCATTTCCCTGAAATATTGAAGAAAGTGATTTGATATTTCAGTGTGTTGATGATTGCTTACTTTTAAATCAATCTCTTTGAATTCTGCCCTCAAGTGTTTTTGATTCATATTCACAGACTTCTTGGGGTTGTGTTTTTCATTGATGCCATTGAATGCTTTTTTGTGCCTTCATGAACATTTAGTTTTTGATTTATTATTAATTCTGCAATTAAGTTTGAGAACTTGGTGGCAGAATATACTAACTTCATATTACAGAACTTAACTACTTTACAAACTTAACAAATCAACATGAACATTTCACCGTGCAAACTTTCATAGCACTCCTCCTCACCACACTTCACTCAGTGCACTGCAGATCACTGAACTATTATGTCCTTCTTAGACACTCATTACCCACAACTTCACAATGCAATTACACTGCATGCCAATGAACATAATTAATAATAATAATATTATTATAATAAGTGATAGTGATAATATAACTTACTATGCATAGTAGACTACTAATTTAATATTAGAGATATTTGTAATACACATATGAAAATCTAGGAAGTTAATTAATTTTTAAATTTGCTTAGGCTTTGATAAATGATTATTACAGGGAAACTGTTTCAGTCTCTAATTGTTTGATTTGCGAATGAATATTTCCCAACATTTGTTTTCTGAATACTTGTCTGAATTTTGTGCATATGACCCACTCTGCCAAAATATGTAGGATTTCCTAATCGACTTTCAATTTCTTTCCATGCTTGAAAGCCTGTGTATGCTATATACATAGCATTTGTTCTCCTTCTTTTGAGTGTCTCCTATACTCTTTTATTCTTGATATCCCTGAAAATTTTGATGCTCTATGCCAAACCGTTTCTAGATTCTTTTGCTGCTTAATTCTGTAGATATTTTGTAGATTATGACTGGCTAAGAAAGTGAAGGCTCATCATCAGAATTGCATCTCAAGTTAGATTTATTTCTGAGATATTATTTGTCAGGATATCAGTCTTGTTTTCTCCTTAATTGTTCCAAATGTTTCGCTTTGTGAGTCTAACTGCCAATTTTTTTTATTGTGGAAGAGTTCTTTATCCTAGCTGCCATGAGAATCTAAATTGAAATTCTTTCAAAGCAGTGGCGGATCCAGAGGCAAATTTTGGGAGGGGAAATTCAAAATATTTTGGTCAAGTGGGATATATTACAGATTTTGTGGCAGGCTACACTTAGCTCATGCTGCGATACGATTTTATTTGTTTTAATTATTATCCAAAAATATTTTTGATTGTAAGTTTCATGACAAGTTAAGTTAATAGTTACTGCAAAATTTTAGTCTGTGTGTGTGTGTGTGTGGGGGGGATTTCCTCATTTCCCTCCCCTTGGATCCGTGCCTGTTCAAAGCAAGCTGTATTTTTGGGAAACCTACATGCTGTGTACTTGCTCAGAAATGTGGATCACCAAAACTTTACTTCATAAAAAGGAATAAAATTCATGTTCATTTTGGGTGAAAAAAGTAAAGCAATAATATTTTTAACTAATGTTACTTTTTGTGATATGAAGTACCCAATAAAATTAGGTCAACAAAAACATTTTTAAATGTTGAAATATGTTTTTAGTTCATTTAGTTACGCCTGTTTTAAATGAAACCTTGACAATCACATCAGTTATCTTCATTGTTCCTTCTTTCTTCAATCTATTTTGCATCCTAATATTGTTAAAGTTACTGCATGTAATGAAAATTAAAATGTGTACATGTATTAAAGCAATTGTGAGTTGGATACCAGCACTGACAAAAAGACTGCTAATCTGAAAGTTACCAATTTTTTCAACCAAATTGTACATTTGTATTTACTCACAAGTGTTGGAATGCTGAGAAAACTTTCACAACACACTGTGTGGTGTGTTCACAACACACCAAATAACCCATCCAATGAAACATAATTCCCCAACTTTTAAACGAAAAATATTATCCTAATTATGGATCAACGTCATGTGCCACCCTTGACGATTCCATTGGCTGACCCCTTAACGCTCAAATTATTCCAATTAACCAATCATCGTACTTTGAGCTGCTAGAAGCCCTAAACTATCTTCGTTTTTTCTTATACTTTTCTTTTTCGATGGCTGTCTTATTTTTCTCTTTTCGATATATAAAAATGAGCGAGTATAACGTTTGTTGTTTCTTTCTTATTCATAATAATTGAGAGAATATTATTTCTATTTCGACTCCGGATGAAAATAATTTACCCATAAAATCCCCAAACATTTCCCTGATAAGTTATGTTCCCATTCTTTACTCACCACGAAAAAAGTGCCCATTTTGGGAACAAAATTCTTCAGGTTATTACGTCTATTCATAACAAAAACGTTTTTAAACCATTATAAGTAGGTTGGAAAAAATCCAACGCAGAATGATCTCGACGTACTAAAAGGAAATCGTCACATATACATTTTAATCATGGAAAAAGATGCGTGGGCTACTCTGGCGCATCGATTTTAGCTCGTTCTGCGCATCACCAGTTTGCGACACTAACCACGTGACCACAGCACTGGCACTTCGTTTGGAAAGCCAGACCAGACCTGGACACACTGCACAGACAGCGAGAATGTTGAGAAACATTTTGAAAATGGCATAAACTGACAATTTCCAACGGTGACCAACCAAAAATAACATGATGGTGGTGTAGAAGATCAAAATCATATAAATTAAAGCTGTAAAGAGAACGATTTTAATGTCCCTCCTATTCAGCTCCCGGAAAAGTTTTAAAGAAGTGAGATAAAAAAAGAAAAAAATAGGAAATGAAGACACTATAATTTGAATAGATCGCAGCTTTCCTTTATTGATAAACAGCTAAGATATTTGCGTTGTTTGAAATGCGCGGCTAGAATGGAAATGTGAAGGTGCCGTTATGTGCAAGCTCTTAGTCTTGTTTAGAGAACATCGCGTAGTGTGATCGTTAAAACCATTGATTGAGACTATCAATTGTAAGTATTAACTGTACTTTCTTATGTATCATTCTTGTGATATATACAGAACACATCAAAGAAATGACAGTTCTGATTATTATTTGGAATGTAAAGTGAATTTTTTACATTTTGTTCCGTACATTAAGGTAAGTTGATTGTAGGATTTGGTGTTATAGGCCAAACAATACCCATGTAGTACATATGTGTAAAGATCTTGGCAAATATAATGTATGTTTGTGGAAATGCAGCATTTTCTTTCCTAACTTTTCTACAGCACGTAATCGCACAACTATACAGCACGTACTACACGATGTAATCGCACAGGTTCAGCTAATTTAAAAGAAAAATATTCAGAAGCATATATATGTTTATAAACATATATAAATTCTTATATATGTTTCAAAAACTTGTAACAAGGTGATAATTTGGTATCTGGCTGTATTTAAAATTCCCGCTAATATTGTATCGCCCACTGGTGTCCGAAAGCCATCGGCTGATAAAACGAGAAAGAGCCCTCACATATCTTTCCAGCATGGTTTTAACGGTTAGTTAACAAAGGCAAAAGTGGGCAAGACCTCGATTTTGCATGAGATGCTGCCGGGGTTACATAGCTCGCAACTGCGAGTATGCCTCTGCCCGGGTGAGGGTCACCCTGCAGGGGATGAAAATGTGGAACGGCGCTTTGCCCAAAACGTAGCAACTTTAGGTTAAAGTCCGTCTGCTGCTATTGTAAGCAGCATTACGCTGCATCCTTCACAGGATTCAGCCATTGCCCGTTGCCACCGCGATCTTCAGACGCGCGTGCAAAAGGTACCGAGGGACGCTTACGCCAAGAAGTTTCTCTTAGAAAGTTTAGATTAGAAGTTGCTCTTAGAAACTGTGCCTCTGCGGCTGTCGCGCAGCATCTCGGCGCCACGCAGTCCTCAGGGGCAAACGCACTGCCATCAGGGGCGGCCGGAGCGCGGCCCACTGCACCCGCAGCAACCGCTCAAAACACTCACTAGGAGCCAGTTCCTAGCGATGTTTGAAGGAATCTTAAGCATGTTGCTAAACTTTCAATGGAGGAAGCAGCGTAGCTACGCCAGCAGCACCTCTCCGCGCCTGCACTTGGAACGCGCAAAGTGTAATTTTTTAAAGCCTAGCGAATTGAACATTTTGCAGTTGAACAACTTGACATCTTGAATTTACAAGAAACGTGGCTTAGAAATGAACACGAATTCAAACTCCAGGGATTCGCTGTTTATCGCCGAGACCGCGCTGGCAGGCCAGGTGGCGGCGTAACCCCATCTCGATCAGGTTTTGTTCAGTTTCCCAGATCCCTTGAGCAAATGCTGAGGTGGCCCCTTGTTTGCTCCTGAACAGTAATGTTAACTTCATGGCCTCTCCACCCCAAAGACATCATATAGCTCGTCATACACGATTGTAATGTAAATGTGGGGGGGGACCTGCAAAAAACAATAATAAAGTAATATAATAATTAATATAATTATTTATTATTATTATTATTATAATCGCGCTGCGCCGAGAACAACCGCAGCTCAAAGCTTCTGTACTTGATGTTCTTTAAATGTAAAAAAAAAAAAACGGTAGTAGTACGTGAAAGTCCTACCTTTTACCCTGTGGAATAAAATAAATATTATGAACATTCAACGAAAAATCGCAATTCTATAATATAATTTTTTTTCATGACCAAAGCAAACAAATGAAATAGCAATTACTCACCATGCAGGTCACACCTAGTAGAATAACTTAGACTTTCCCAAATGCCATTGTATGATCATTGAACGATGTTGTGTGTGTGAAACAGTGCGCCCTTCAAACAGTGTTCGTGATCACACTCAAGAGAAGAAAATTTTATGTAACTTTGAAACGATGTCAAAATGCAGTCAGTAAACTTACGCTTTCGAAATTAACGGCATTCAATGTGGAATATTGTGCTTTTTTAAATGGTATATGACATAAGTACTTTTTCCACAATGTGCGCCGTCCCGAACACGCAGTCGTGGACGAAGAAATTGACACTTCAATGCCAACTAGACCGCGGCTTACCAGCCCGCAACATTTCTCTTATATTGACTCCGGCCGTAAAAGCTTACGCTGCTATGCAGTCCCAAAAAGGCTCTTGATTTTCCACGGAGAGGAGGAACTTTTAACACTAAGTTAGCCAGAATTTTTAATATCATGTAACTATTACTCTTTCAATGCATTTATTGTAATAAATACAGTTATTTAAAAATATAAATCAACTGTTTATCATATCTTGATTTATCGAAAATATAAATCAATGCACTTTTTATATTTTTAAAAACTATTTGCAGTTTCCTGAGCTGAATCCAAATTTTAATGGTTGAATTTCAATATTCAAGTCACACGTATAAAATATTGTTATCCCCAATGATTTTAATGTTAACATTTTTTATGAAGCGTATTTTCAATATTTTTTGTTTGACAAGTTTGAATTAACATTTGATGCTATTTCTTTGCAATACAAGAACAGGACTTCATAGTCCTGGTGAAGAAAACAATTGATTTGGTGACCTTCGTAATATTTGGCCTTAGCTTTCATACCACTCAAGTCTTGAAGAAGATGGTTTAGCTTTTACGCAAATAAAGTCTTGAAGATTAACAAAATTTTAGTGTCTCATACATATTGTGGCGTCACCAAATAATATTATAATAATTTCATATCGAAATAGCTCCCATCACAGTTAAGTAGGTCGCGGGACGGGGCTTTTGTTGCGAAGAACCCTAACGACCGCCATGCCGCGGACACGCGTTGACAGCTGCCCGACCGACCGCTGTTGAGGGTACCTCTTAGTTGCGGACACATTTATGACCCGTCATATACGCCTCGCGCTGCCTCCCTTCACGGAGCCACCGGGTACTCAAGACAAACAATACGCGCCCGCGCCAGGAATCCAAATTCCCAAAGGGGTTATTTACAACTCAACAGTTCGCTGGCTGCGTCCGATCAGCCTTCCGCTGACAAAAATATTATGGCCCGAAAAAAAACCGCAACCGCTCGAACAAGTGTTCCAGGTAGTCAGCTGCGAGATGAGTCTTCTGGAGATCGCTTCACAGAGAGCAGAAGAGAGGACGATGAGACGAGACGAGAGATGAGGAGAGACGTGATGAGAGAGAGAGAGCGGCACAAGGTAGAAAGAGAGATCTCCTGCGGAAAATTTCGTAACGATGAACACGAATTGGATAACTTTCAAAATTCAAACGCATTTAGTTTAGGCCTATGGGAGTCTCATCGTGCAGGAAGGGGCAGTCTGCAGTGTTCCGGAACACGTTTGGATGGGACGGAACGGAGTTAACTTGGACGCTGAGATGTGCAGAAAACTGAACTGATAGAATTCAGATTATCGAATAGGCACTTTAAGCATTCTCCGAATAAGCATCTTTTAAATTACCGCGGAGAAACTGGGCGCGGAGCATGCAAGATCCTGCGTAACTTTTCGCGTAAGATGATCTTGCATCGCTGCCTATGCCCATATCGGCCCATCAAGCCCGCACTAAACCACGCCAGATACCTGTGTGTCCTCAACTGACTTGAGTCCGCGACGATTTGACGACTCCGTTCGCCTCGCCACGCTGCCAGCCGAGGAGAACATCCCGTGGGGAGGTCGGTGACCTGAGGCCGCCCGCCGTCTTCGAATGAGGACCGCCATTCCGGCCGGTCTGCGGAGCCACCGCCAAGCAGTTGTGCTTAATCCGGTTTTAACCGAAGTCGAATATTATCTCCCGTAGTATTATAGACGCGGGGCTCCTTGCAGGACATTTTGGCGAGAGACTTAAGAGTGGCCGCCTCAGGGCCTCTGTGTATCTGTAGTTAAAAATATGCATGAATTGTTAGAAAATAACGTTATTAATTTAGTGGTTAGAAATTTGTTCATTTAACTGTTAAGCGTATTGAGCCTCTAACGTAAGCGTTAGCAAGTAATCTGTTGTTCGCTCCTCTAGTGACCTGTAACTTCCCTGGCAGCCTCATGCGGCTGCCAGGACATTAAATCAATTTTGTTAGAAACCATTTCAATGGACTGATTATGAACTCCTTCACTTCCATCCATTCGTTACAGGAACTGAACCTGGCGCCCGACATATCCCGACGGAGTGATCGGCATTACAATATTATGATGTTGTGTTTGTACGTCACGTCCAGAAAATGTAAGTAAACGACAACGAATTTATTGAGAGCTATGTTCTTTAGTGGTTTCTTTATATTATTACAAAAATGTGAAAAATGTACGGACGTGGACAAATTATTAGACTAGAGTAATTGAATAAGAAAAATTGTAATTGCGACTATAGATATTGACACATTCTGTGTACAGGGTTTTAATGTTGTATAAACATTTCATAATTATTATACTTGTTCTGAGGTATGTTGAAAATCAATTTTTAAACCATTGTTTCAATTTGAGTATCATTTTGCGAGATGCGAATGTGCTTTATGAGCTGGTTTGTATGGTCTCTTCTTACATTTCTTTTAATTATCGAACGATAATTTTCAATGAGATTCATGTCAGCGCTATTTGCAGTTTATTGGAACCCAGACTGATCAATGCCTTGAATATGTTTTCAACTTCCTTTTCTGTTGTGACAGGGAACGTAGTCATTGGTTTTTATCCAAACTACTCATTTATGTGATGGAACCTTTGGTTCTTTAGGGCCTCTTAAGTATTGGTTGTGCCTCATTATACCATTAACTGTGTACACATTTCCATTAACAATAACAAGCATTCCACTTCAAACAGTTTACTTTTGTCACGTGCTTTTCAGGACTCATTATAATACATTAAGTCAGAGAGAAAATAGTCTAATAATTTGGCCACTTCTGTGCATACGTTTCCGCGTGAAACATCTGAGTGATAGGAAAATGCTTAGGCCCGCAACACCACACCGAGAAATGCGTTGGGAGAAATGTGTGACGGAACGAGGCCAGTGAGGCTTCGTTTGCACACTAGAAATAGGTTATTCGATATCTCGAAATGTCTTTATGTGCCACAAGCCGAGAGTGGTGACAACAGTCAGCTATGAGATCAGGTGCGAGTCCCATATCTTGTTTTATTAAATGCTCTTGTATAATTTTAACCCATGAAATCCTTGTTTTGATACCATAATCGTAAACCATCTGTTAAACAAGTTCGTATTGCCTAAAGACAAATACATTTCTGCGTTGCACACAAATGATTATTTAATGTAAAAAGCAGGATCTTATGTGACGCTTACTGTGATTATATGGGAAAAGTAAAATCTGTGGATGTTTTGTTCAGGTACATAATCTCTACCCCCGTCTGTTTTACTATACTCGTTGGTTAAATTATGAATAAATGGTGAATAATCAAAAATTTCATAATAAAATCCACAATTAATAAATTCGTTCTTAAATAATAAATACGAATTAAGAAAAATAATGAATTAATTCAATTCTTTCAAAATACCTCTTCAAGTTTCTTACTTCAATTTTTTTAATATTGTTCATTATGAACGGGTTTCATACGAGTAAGAATATCTTCCATACACTTTATTCTCACTCATTTCCGTTTAAAGAGAAAATTCAAGTAAGCAATTAAAATCTTGTTGTTTCTCATATATTTTACTGCTAAACAGTGGCGTTCCAGGCAAGAAGGAATGGGGATGCGATTTTATTACAGCTTGCACGCACAATTCCAAATATTTAAAGCCTCCATTATTCTATTTTATTCTGAAGTATTAGAAGTTTATTTTTCAAATTAGATATTAATCTCGCAACATATCATGAACGATGACCTTGCTTCCCCCACTCTGGCACATTAAACAGTCGAAGGCAAAAGCTCGCTGCGAGAACTGAAGTCAGACTAAAGTCAACATTAGAAACACATCTTCACGGACACGAAATAAACGATTTTGTGTTGAATTTGAGAACTATCTTTTTATCCAAAAAATATAAAGAAATATCCGAGGCGGGTAAAGATCCATCACAGGAAATACCTCGAACTCCTGAGAAAGTTAGAACGCAAATTATTGAGAAAGTTGAAAAGGCATGACTGGTTCTTCAGAGATTGGCATTTCCTCATAAAATCTAGTGGCCGATTTCGTAACTATTACCCCCACTCTATCCGCATTTCTTCAATCCATCGTTCAAGAAAATTGCGCGAATAATACCTTCTCAATCTTACTTGAAAATTACCAATTTCTCATTGCATGCACTTTCATAAACAAAACAATAAAACTAAAAATTAACCATAAAAACTACATACCTAATTTCTGAACTCGAGATTTATTCGCCGCTTTCGCGTTACAATTTCGAATTCACCGGATCAGTAGTTGAACAAAGTAGTCTACTTAACACTATTTAACGAAGTACGAAACAGCATTCACGCTACAACGCGACACATGACGAACTAACGGAACTATCATCGCAATGTTCCGACTTCATGGACTATCCTACTATCCTGTCGTTCAATTTCCTTACGTGAAGGAGTGACCTTGTTTTGTCAGGCCTGCTAACCCACATCGAATTACTCAGCTGTACTGAATCAGGTTAAAATGTGCGTAGGAATAGTTGGCAGACTTTCATCAGTGGCGGAGAAAGACGGTCGTGGCTTCTGCCCCTCCCTCCCCGCTGCGGGGCCTATAATCGTGACTTTTGGGATTCCCAGACCTGCTGACGAATAATGACTGCATCAGAGGAAGGGGTATGGGAAGGTCTTAGGAGGGGATAAAACTCAAATGGCAATGAGTATCCAAAGATGTTATAACTACTGTAGTTATACGATCTTTGTATCAGAAGCCTTTGATGTGAAACAAAGAGTATTTATCAGAGACAACTCAATGTTCAAATGGAAAGCCTTATTTGCTCAACTTCCGCCACATTGTTATGTATACTTTCTATTGAACAAACGAACAGCCAAATTAATATAGGCGGCAGCGATGGTTAGCGTATCGGACTGTTATATTATACGCGCACGTTTTCTTGAGCCCCGGAATATCTACCCTCACTCCTTTGCCAACATTGGTTGAATGAAGAATAAATGATAGAAAAGAGCGTTGTAGGCAAAATCTGATAACCAGAAATATTCGCTCCAGGGTAATGAAACAATTTTGCATGGAAAAAACAAACTACAAATACGACAAAAACATTTTTTGTCAAAATAACCTAACTCCCAACTCCTCTCGCAACCAGCAAAACGATGGCTCAAGAAAACGTGCGCGAATAATTCCGAAGTTCGGGAATCGGGTTCAAACCCGATCGAAGCCTTGGGTTTTTAAGGGCGAGAAAATTCTTCGGGGTTGAAGTAAAGCCGGCTGTTTCATGATAGTAGATTTACTGCATGTAAAAAATCCTTAAGCTTAAATGAAGCCTCTGAGCTAAATTCAAATCAAAAGTGAAAGGAGCGTAGCGATATTGAAATTTCCGAGGTCAGACGAAAGAGCAGGCCTGATAGCCTGAGTCTCGCCACGTAAAATAAGGCATATATATATATATATATATA